AGTGAGTTGGATTTAGGGAACTCAATCGTCACCTTCGATGCTCTGTAATTCAACGTGATGAACCCCTGGCCAGATGCCAGAGAGACCTCCTCGTCGGAGGAGCTTTTAGGAGTGCAAATTGACACCAAGTGCTTAATTTATGGGGCGCCTTTTGTGCCTATGAACAGAAGAATTGCCCAATTGCTCCTTGTCGGCGCGAGTCAGCAAATTGGATAGATCCGACCATTGAAAATGCAATTACTCTCGCAGTCTCATTGGTAGCTGACATGGGTCTGAATTGAGTCAATTGTTCACTGTGGGGTGATCGCTCGCGATGATTTGTGTTGATCTTCAATCATGTCGTTTTTCGGAGATTGTGATGAAATGATTGATTGCTTTCCATTACCTGACCATCGCCAAGGCTGAGACGTGCTGACGGGCGCGATATTGGCGGCAAAATGCGCTGAGAAGGTGGTCTTCTGTCGCACTCACGCGTTCCAGTGATTCACGCTGTGCGGAGTGATTTGGCAACTTGCCAAAGATTTTCGCATATCTTCGACACCTCACCTTGAACGCAATTCGTGTCTCAGCCGTCATCTGGGTCCTCTCTTGCAATGGACTTGAGATGATAATCTCCAAATGGGAAGATCGTTACTGTGCTATTACAGATCGCGGAGACATGCACGGCGTTCTGCATGTCCAGCAACATAGTATCGACGCGCCATGCCAAAGCTTTGGATAAATATTTGAGAAATTTGCAAATAATGATTTTTTCCCGCTCTCTTGTAGACTCATCAGCAATTCGTGACCATGTTTCAACCATCAATATTTGTGCACTGCAGATGGTCACTGAATGGGGCGTTGTGGAGGAGAAAAGAGACACCATGAAATTATGTAATTTCGCCAATTTATTGCTTGTCTTGTGCCAGCAAAATGCGCTTCATATATACCCATTTTGGTTGGTTATCTGCAAGTCTGCAAAAGCCGCGGTGGTATTTTTGGCCAACAATGGGCCAACAGGAATTAATATCCAGTCCGTGGTGCACGCAAAAAAGCAATTTTTATGAATGGGAAAGCGTGAAAGAGTAGCATTGGGTGAGGAATTTCCATCGCATTCCACTGCGTTTGCGCCGAAATTTATGCGCTTTTTGCTGGGAATGGATTTTCCACACATCGCCAGCCGATGGCTGGGTAGGAAAATGTACATGGCATACACAAGCAGCCCCCAGAATCCGGAAATCCGAATGGGGTTGAATCGAATGATTACCAGCACTCTTATTTATGGCCTGTCTGCTGAATTTGTGGCCCTCTTGGCTGCTCCTCCGCGCCCGACGCCGTCCGGACGGCACGCGAGGGGATATTGATTGCGCACCGAGAAGCTCCCCAACACAGGAAAAGATGTGCCATTAAGCTCACCACGCCCATTCTGGAGAGCACCCGCTAACATTTCCCCAGGCCACACCTTCGCGGCCATGCTTTTCGGTCCCTAAAAGGCCCCACAAATCGAACATTTGGAGGTCATGAAAATGTCATTGATAAAACGCACCGTCACAGCCACTCATGTCCTCCAGCCCAGGTGAATCGACTGCATTGTCTCAGCGGGGGATGGCTTTTCACTCCCCCGCGGGAAATGCCGCTCATAGTTGTGTCGGACGAAAACAAGCCAGACAAACAACATCATCATCCTAAAAGGGTTATGGAGGAAATTTCCGGCCGACAATTGCCACATTTACCCACTCAGATGGAACAATATTTACCTGATTTCGTGTGTTCCAACTGAAGTTCCTAACTCAATTCCAAATCCCCAGCATTCCCATGACGAATTCTCACTCTCCCCGGCTAAAGTGCTGCCTTTTGCTGTGCTTAATCGATTTTGTGCTAAACTTGGAAATATATAATCAGCTTAATCAGACACTTGAGAAGGAGAGAAGACAGAGGGAAAAATATTGCAATTAAATGTTGAAGTGGACTTTATTGCATTTAAATTGATATTAATGTCCGGAAATGCCAGAGAAACTATACATTTTTCTACTTTGAATTTTTTAATAAAATATTTAATTGCACTATAAATAAAACTGTCACGCAATATTTCTTAAGTGCTTGTCAGGATAGCTTAAAAAGGTTTAAATGGTGTGCCAAAGTAGCCCCGTTTCACCCTAGTTTTCTTCTAATAACACTCATCCAACTTCACCTCAGTTCATATCCGATTATTTCATTAAATGCTCAGAGATATCAATCTCACGGTGACCCTTGATGGGGATCAAAATAGCATGAATAGGTACTAAACCACGTGCTAAAGCGCAATCTCCACACTTTAATCAGGCTGCTTCAAGTGATAAATAGTGATTTCTTCAATGTCTCACTTTTCTCATGAATATTCCAGAGAATAAAAAACTTAGTTTTAATTTATGATGGCTATTTTATTCAAGTGTTACAATTGTGTGGTAATCCGAAATCTCTGCAGACACGGAATTAATACAAGTATGCGAAAATGTTACACCTGGCACAGACATACCTAACATTTTCACATCTTCATAAATGCCCGACATGGAAAAAAAACTGTTAATATTTATGTGCCAAAATTCGATAACTCTTGTTGTTTTTTTAAGGCCACCATCAGAAGAATATGTTATGATATAAACGGGCGTTTCTTTAGCTCAGTCCTAATATAAAAGTCTCGTGTGTAGAGTTGTTACTTTCCCATAAGAGTACACAGACTGCACTTAAATTGTAGTTACGCAACATTGATATCCATCAACGCTGTCATGTTTACAACCCTTCCAAGATAGATTGAGCCTGACACCCACACATGAGTACTCTGGTGGAAAAACATAAAAGTTTCACTTTGCTCATCGTCCAGCAAGTCCAGCAAATATCATTCATTTTTATTAGCACGACACATTTGATTTTCACAATTTATTTCGCTCACCGAGAAACTACAGACCATAAATTAATTTTCTGTGCTCTTCACCACTGGAAAATGTTGAATTTCCCTTAATTGAAAAACATTTATCAAAAGACAAACTCGCTGCACCTCGCTAAGCATCCATTTATTCTTTTTCCCAGGAGTGAGTCGCGGTTTAGCGAACAAGAACTCCGAAAAAAAGTCCGCTCTGTCGGTGATTATGGGAGAATAAAGAAGATTGTCACCATGCCAGAGGGAAGTTGCTCTTGTCTTACTCTGGGAAATTACCATCTCGCGAGTCTTACAGAATAATTTTTCTTCTCTCTTGTAATATGGCTTTCAGGGGTTAGTAAACGGTGGGGCAGTGATTTTTTCTCAAAGACAACACTCTTTGTGAGTAATTTAGCAAGTTCTGAGCCAACGTCTTGTGGCAGAAAGTTTTGATGGAGTTCCAGAGAGAGGTTAATAGTGTCTCATTATGGTTTCTTTGCTGGAGAGAAGAGGGAAAAGCTTGGATCAAAATAAAGTCCTTCTGCGTGTGTAAATAAGTAATCAAGAATCTAAATTGAGTTCAAACTAATTAAAACTTCAACTTATGAGTAAGAGTAATTCTTACGTAATTCAGGAAGTATTCGTAGTAAAATAAAACCCTTCACCACAGCAGAATTGCAAGCGAATAGCGAATCTGTTGGGCGGGGCATTCTAGTGGGCGGGGCTTCAGAGATATCTTCATTTTGAGCACGTTTTCATCAAATTGGCAATTTGTTTAAAATGTTTCTTAATTAATTATGATGAAAATGCTGTATTCATTACAAAGTGTGCTCAACAATCAATTATTTTAATGACGGTGTTGCGAATTGATTTAAATTGTAGCAAAGCTGTTGGGAATTTGCCTGCCATAAAGCAATCACTGTTCATTCGAGCATTATTGAACACATTATACACACATTGCTTGAATATTTATCATCCTGGGTAACTCTGTGCGCCTATGAAAATTGTCCGCCCCTCAGGTGTTAAGCATCGTGGATGAAATTCCATGTTTTTCTCTGTCACACCGAAGGAAAAATTCTCTGCAGGCAAATGCCGAGGATTATGGAGTGATTTCTCACCGACAAAAAAAATCCATGGTGTTTACCATTCAGCGGCAAGGGATGGCCATATTTTTCCACAAGGGCCAAAAAATCATTATTTCCGTGATATTCATGCATAATGAATTTGGTATGAAATCGATTTGTTATATTCCATCGTTGGAGCGTATTCCACCCTCTCATGAGACCATAAAGTATTTATTTATGTTGAATGCAGAGAATCTGAGTGGATATATGTGGAGGGATTGCGAGTCTTGTGGACGTACATTCACCTCTTTTATGGAAATTTCGCATGTAACTCCATATATATTCCTGTGGGGAGACATGCCAGAAATGATATTCGCCCAAATTAAACACTTAACCCCATTGCGGAGTATTGTCGGGTGTTTGGTTTCATGGTTGCCCCGCAGTCCAATATAGCCTCGTTAATTTGCCCAAAAATATATATTTTATTCACCATCGAAGGGACTCTGCGAGTTTAACTTTCGCCCGAAAGAGTCTCGCTTTTGGGCTCAAATGTAAAACTCCCTCGGCCATGATTCCATTTTCATCCCCCCAAAAGTTACATAACGACAAACTTTCCTCTCTCGCTGACTTTTCCGACAATTTAATTCGGACTGGTGTGGGCAAAAAGTTTTTTTTATCGAAGCGCAACACAGAGTGGAAAAGCATTGGGGTTTGTGTGAGGAATTGGGGTCAATTTGGCAAACATTTCTTTCCTCCTGAGTTGTCCTTTTTTCTGTCCACTGCGTCGCCCACGGTCCTTGAGTGATTGTCTTCGGGCTATCTCTCTCGAAGGGATTTTCACCAATTGATGCCTCGCGGGGCGACAATGCGCCCCCAGCCCTTCCAACTGGCGTGGGGGAGCGGAAAGTCACGCAGTGACGTCACGGCGGGCCTCAGCCAATGGGGTTGGGCGGGCGAGGAAGCGGGGCATGCGCACAGGGACCAGGGGAAGGCTCTTCCGGCGCAGGGGCCGCCGAGACGTGGCGGAGGACTGGCACGAAGAGCCCGGCAGATCGAAGCTACAGTTCAGCAAGGCCAGGTCGAGTGGACCGCGCTGGCTGCAGGAAACCAACAGCAGACACAGTACTTTTGGACGGGAGGCCCTCTTGCATAACCCAGTCCCCCCGTAGGCTGGGGCGCAACCACCCAGGAGGCCCAGGATCGCAGGAATTGCCCAGCACAGAGACTCGTTGCAAATGAAATCCAGGACATTGTCAGTGATACAAGAGTTTTGAGTTCACAAGAGAGAGAGTGATAAAGTGATAAGTGTCGCCTGGAGGAGAGCCTAGCTACCCTACATTTTTCGCACGAGCAGAGGCCGATTGCATAACGCGAGACCGTGGCGTCTTCGGAGGGGCCCAGCAGCGGAGATTCCGCCCTGTTCTCGAAGCTCGGTGGTGCCTTCTTCGGGGGGCCCAACTCCCCACAGCGAGTCGTCACAAATATCCGTGGGTTCCTCGCGAATCGGCTCACTGGGGCAATTCCCGATACAGGTGAGTGTTACGTAACTGTCTAACCCCCCATTTTTCCGCCCATTCAAAATGGATACCTGCCCGGAAAGGGGATGTGCAATTCTCTGCCCTCAGAATTCGGTGCTGTGTACAAGTATTGCGTAAGCCCCCAATCAAGGGGATCGTTGATAAATAAATGCTGGGAAATCGTAGTCACGAAAGCCGTTAATTTATTTACACTCGACACGAGAAGACCTTCGACGCGACGGAAAATACTTGTGGAAATCTGAATGTTTTGGGGCGCTGGGGTTAATAATAATTGATAGGGTATGATTATTTTAAAAAGGTGTGCTTAGTTATGGTGAAAACTGCCCTGAAAAGACACATCGCATGACCTAAAAAAGACCCTCCGGATTTTCAGAACTTGAGAATACCGTCGGAAACTTTCCCTGTCTTTTAAGATAGTCTTGAAAATATACTTTACCAGTCAAATATATTACTTTCTGAAGAGCTTAAACCGTTTAAAACAGAATTGATTATTGCGGAAATTAACTCTTCTCCTCAGAATCTCTTCCAAAGAAAACAAATCGCGGGGGGATAAAATGAAAAATAGTGCAATTAAGAGCTCTTCTGGTGGTTGGAAAAGGCCACCAAGATGAAAACTCATTTAGCCCCTCTGACGAGATTAATTTATGACACAGGGTAGATTATTAATTTTATTTAATTGTCCCCCTTGGAAAAATTGCTTGTACGATGAGCATTTGGGGTTTGTTCTCTTGAGGGGTGAATGATGACTGATGCATCTGAGAAGGTGACATTGATTGAATTTAATTGATGACATTAATCAAATTACCCAACACTGATAAATGCCTGGGATTCTTGTAATGAGATTTCGGTGCGGAAGAACTTGATTGTCCGAAGAAGAGAGAGTGAGAGAGGTGCGTAATTTTCCTCACCTTTCTCGGTAATTCTTTGTTTATCCATTCAATTTTGCACACCATCAAAGCTTTAGCGTCACAGAAGACTCGCAGTAACGCAAACTTATCATTCCACCCCTCAAGTTAATGTCGCTTCTTTCTCACCCTCTCGCAACCGCCGTGTCTGAGGGATGATATTGTTTTTCGATTTAATATCATTCCGCTGAGAATCATGATGGAGAATGGCAATGTCTTGCAGTGTACACGGAATAATAATAAAAACCCACAGTAATTCGCCATGGTGAAAGTTAAGGGAGAGAGAGCAGAATAAACAACCTGAGCCGCCAAGGGTGGGGTGAAAAAATTAAATTATTCATCTTTCCTATGCTTCACCCTGGCAATATCTTGAGCCACCCTCACCCAGAGGCGGAATTTGTATTCATTTTATTGTTTCCTCCGCCGTGAGTTTCGGCATTGTCTCCGCGGAGTGTCTTTCGATGTTGTGACTCCAGCCCCTCGTCGCGATGCGAAATCCTCCCAAGACGAGCATATAACTTCACTTTCGAGCGCCCAGGACAGGTCTCCTGGGAGAGCCGCGCGTGGGATGAGCGCAAGAGATTAACATGAGATGTGCTTTTGCCTGTGAAATCCTACACCAGCTGTCTCTAATTTGCAACCCTTGTCCAGGGGCTGCGGTCGCTCTCTCGGGAATTCCACCGACGGCTTTGCATTTTCATGCCTCAGCGAAGGGTGGATTTTCGATGTTGTTTTTTTCACCACTCGGGGTGGACAGAGTTTCCAAGGACTTTGCCAAGCTTTGAACAACTCAAGGCTGCGAAGCAATAAATATTTCAATGGGATTGATTAATCTATTTCCAAAATAGGTTATGAGTTTCCAGAAATACCCTCAGGAAATGCTCTCAGAGGGTTGGCTTTTCCATCTTGTGACCATGAAATTGTTATTGACAGGTCGTGAAGGAGGTATTTTTGGATTCAATCTCTCTTTAGCACTTAATTTGACAACTGAAGAGTTAAAAGGATATAAAAATACAGACAGAATACGGGAGAATTCAATACAAAAGTTATGATTATATGAAAAATTCACAACTAAAATATCTGTGCAGTGAATTTTAATGCATGATTTTGCCACGTCTAAATTATTCAGTAACCGCCAAGGGCATGAATTTTTCATAAATCACGAGAGAAATTGGTCACCAATTTGCATATTTTTTATCATTTTTCTCCATTTCAGTCCAATTGTCTCCGTCATGGCGGCAACATTATAAATTTGTGAATTTTCTTGGGTGGAAGCGAGGGTGTATTCGGGTGAAAAATCGATTCATTTGCCAAGGGTTCCCGAGACGGAAAGGTGTCTTCCTTCCCGTGTCTAATTACAAATTGGATGTCAGTGATTTTATCAATATTTTGACTACAGCCGATAGAAATTCAGGGGATACCGTCGCCATGCATCAGTCAAATGGCAGAGGCAAGAACAGTTGGGCTAGAAATAGAAAATATAGAAATAGGATCGCCGTGACGAGGGTTGTAGGCTTCCTCCGTGGGGAGGAAAGGTAATTTCGCCTCAACGCTGCATTTGATTTAGGGGTGTCTCTCTCCTCAACAAACATAGCAGCACAAATATATGTTCATCCCCTCGCTTTCGAGGTATTTCGGGCGCCCTCCGGTATTGAATATCTCACTCGTTATTTAGCAACATTCGTGTGAATATTTTATAAGGTGCCAGACGGTGGATGAATGGACACAATTTCCATTTCCCCTGAATTTCTGATGCTTTATATGTGGACTTGTACCCTCGCGAGGGTCGCTAGAAACCTCATTACTTATTCATATTTTTATTGTAATTGAAAATTTTGCAACTTATTCGATTAGGAGGCAAAGTAATTCACCTCGCTTCAGTGACAGTCGTCTTCGCGGTGTTTTTTCATATTTACCATTACGCTCCTCACATTTTCTAAAAGGGAAGGAATGGGAAATGAGGCGCTTTCTTTTGCGCAAATTTAATGAGGTCCTCCCACACGGAAAAATATTCAAATTGGCAGAAAGTTGTACATTTTTTTTCTTGTCTCTCCACACGGGGTTTGATGGAATACTTTGGGTGAATCAATATTTGGGCGGTTGCGTGACCAGAGTCATTTGCGTGCTGAGAATTACGGACTTTCTTAAAGTATCGCGGATGGTAGTTCGAATACTCATGGGGAAAAGAGAGAGAAAAAGAGTGGAGTAAAAGCACCTTCACCTGCTTAGGCACCTGACGTCGTCAATTATTCACTCCTCACCATGCAAAGAGTCAATCTTGCTGATCTCTCTACTTTAATAGGGCGACTTTTTCCATGTCAGGATATTTTTATCACACGCACAAAATAGCATGTCGTCTAGAATGTCAGGGAATTGCATAATTGCCGTGGCACTCCCGACAATAGACAACCAATAAAATACTTCCAATCCATTTAACACCCTTTCTGCGTGGCTCTCACATTAATCCCCTCACACTTGTTCGCCAACAACAAAATTATGTTCTCCCAGTGAAGCTCTAGAAAAACTCCATCAATTTCACACGGAGAAAACTTACAAGTTTATGTAATTCTGCAAGAAAATTGTGGTCACTTTAAAGCCACGGAAATCCTCAAGTTCTGTGAACCGCATAATAGCCCTAATGCCATTGAGCAGAAGAGGGTGGCTTTTGGTTCAGCAAAAAGTTTGGGGTTGAGGTACAAATAGTGGCCAAATCATCTTGAATCACACAATTTACTCCAATGAGGCGAGATCATGTGAAAGGAAAGCCATATGAATTCCATATATCCCCTTCAATTTCCTCCCCAAATGAGAGAGCATAAACGACCACATTTCAAAGGAACGAAAGCGGGGGTGAGCACTGTATTCATGTCTTTGTTGGCCGCAATATCGGAAAAGATTGCCCGGCGGCGTCGATTAATTGCAAGAAGCACTCTTAGATATTTCCTTATGATTGAAATGTGTGTTTTCTAGGGTAAGACACTCTTGCCGGATAACCAGAGTCTTGCAGACGTTAGAGCTGAGGAATCTCTGTGCTACCTTTGTAACTTTGTAAAGCAAAAGCGCTGTGTTTTTTTGTATATGTAGCATGTAAGAAGGGAGACGCTGATGAAATGAGGGCATCCTTAAACCACAGAAACAACATTTCAATCATAACTAAGATATCGCGTGTGCCGAATAGCAAATTAAGAGTCTGGTTTTAGTACCTTTTTGGTTGATGCCTCACACCAAATATGTTTTGTTGTTATGCCCAAGACTAAAGTAAAAATATTGTTTCTGTGTGTTGAAGGTTGCCTTCTTGCGGAATGAAAGATATTGGGCACGTCGATGAGCAACTGTGCAGCCTTCAGGTCTAACCCATGCGGCCATCATGCGTTGACACCGGCTCACCAGCGCTATCTGCAGCCAATCGATCGTGAAGTGAGGTAAAGAGTTTGAGACAGTCAGCCCCAAAGCCAGCGCCACCATGTCTTGGACCATTCCCGTGATTAATCTGGAGTTCAACGACGTGAAGGAGATCGTATGGACGAAGATCCAGGAGCCGGTGATGCAGCGTCGCCTCATTCTGGTGATCGTGTCCATCGCCCTGCTGCTGGACAACATGCTGTACATGGTGATCGTGCCCATCATTCCCGACTACCTGCGCTACATCGGGGCGTGGGGGATTGAGGAGGAGATGGCCAATGCCACTAACGGTAAGCCCATGCCGCACGACCACCACGGCCAGGACTCGGCCACTGGGGTGCTGTTCGCCTCCAAGGCGATCGTCCAGCTCATGGTGAACCCCTTCTCGGGCGCCATCATTGATCGCATCGGCTACGACCTACCCATGATGATCGGCCTGACAATCATGTTCCTCTCGACGGCCGTCTTCGCCTGCGGTCGCAGTTACGGGGTGCTTTTCTTTGCGCGCTCCCTGCAGGGCGCCGGCTCAGCCTTCGCGGACACCTCAGGTCTCGCCATGATTGCCGACCGCTTCACAGAGGAGAACGAGCGCTCGCGCGCTCTGGGTATCGCCCTGGCCTTCATTAGCTTCGGGTGCCTGGTCGCACCACCCTTCGGCGGCGCTCTGTACCAATTCGCCGGCAAGGAAGTGCCCTTCCTCATCTTGTCCTTCATCTGCCTCCTCGACGGCCTCATGCTGTTGCTGGTGATGAAGCCGGTGAAGGAGCAACTGGCCGAGAGGCAGAACGAGCGCTCGCCTACAATACCCATCTGGCGCCTCATGATGGACCCTTACATTGCCGTGTGTGCCGGTGCCCTGATGATGAGCAATGTCGCCCTGGCCTTCCTCGAGCCCACAATATCGCTGTGGATGGAGGACAACCTCACGACTGAAAACTGGAAGATTGGCATGATCTGGCTGCCGGCCTTCTTTCCCCACGTCTTCGGAGTTGTAATAACAGTGAAGATGGCCAGAAAGTATCCGCAGCACCAGTGGCTGATGGCAGCCGGCGGACTGGCTCTGGAAGGCCTCTGCTGCTTTATCATACCCTTCTCCTCCTCCTACAAGGTGCTCATGATTCCTATCTGTGGCATTTGCTTCGGTATTGCCCTCATCGACACGGCCCTGTTGCCCACTCTAGGTTATCTCGTGGATGTGCGCTACGTCTCAGTGTACGGGAGTATCTACGCCATTGCTGACATATCCTACTCCCTAGCGTATGCAGTGGGGCCCATAATTGCAGGCGGGATTGTGGAGACGATAGGCTTCACTGCCCTGAATGTCCTGATAGCCTTTTCGAACCTCCTGTATGCACCTGTTCTGACGTATCTCAAGCACATCTACGACTTCAAGCCGTTCCAGAGTGAGGCCAACATCCTCATGGGTGATCCGCCCACCAAGGAATACCAGACTTATACAATGCACGACCAGAAACCGGTGGGAGACTACAAGAACCATTTGGAGTATGGTCGGTTCGAGGAGGAGCAAGGGGTGCAGGAGACAAACATAGATCAGGATCAGAACGGGTATGTGGCTCAGGGGCAGTACGATCAATCCTACCAGTATCAGCAGCAGCAGGGCTATCAGCCCGGGTATCAGGAGCAAGGTGGAGTGTATGACCAGCAACAGAGACAATTGCCTCAGCAACCGGTGGCAAATCCCTTCAGGCAGGGCGAACAGGCCCCACAAGAGCAGGGGAGACAAGTGTCGAATCCCTTCCGACAGGGCTACTAAAGTGGTCTCCCGCCTCCCACTCGTTATCGTTTGTGTTATGCTCTTCTTGTTGCAGAAATTATCACTCTTATTGAAACGTGCATGAAAGCGGGGAAATTGCTCCCTCTGCAATTGTTAATTACTGACCACGGTTTTCAGAATATTGATTGGCCAGTATTGTTCGAGCCTTGTTTACAACCACTGTCGCTATAAATTCGAATGTGAAAATCTCACTGAAAATTTGTTAGGTCTGTTCGCAGCACAATTGAGGCGTCTATATAATCCAAGAGAAGACACACAATTATCAAATACATATCCAGAAAGAATATTATATGCAATTATCTATATACAAAATGAAGATATTTACTATATAAATGTGGACTATGTATAGAGAGATATATTAAACTGTTGTAAATATTTTACAGTGACTTGGACATATTTTGCTGCAGAGTTATATTGAGACTTTTTGAGATTTTACGTGTGCTCTTAAATTGAATTGGTATATCCAAAGAAAAGGAGGGTTAGAGTGCGAGGATAATGCGGAAACTTTCTCTGCGCAGAATTTTCAATTTTTCCTCGCCGCAGCGCCAATTCGATGTTAATGAAAATTTATTAATACACTCTGATGGTTCTTTTCCCCTCCCTGGTTCATTTTCAGCTCCCATATCTTAGCTATAGGCATTTAGGAGTATAATATTCTAGCATGTAGGAAGTCAACTGGATCGAGGGGAGGCTCCGCCGCGGCATCGGTATCGCATACATATCACACAAGTTTGCACGTCTATTGGGTGCTCGCTCAAGGGTAGGATGGTCGCCCACTATTGGTATCAGCCCATCCGAACTCCCTGCTCGATCAAAATCGGTTGGCATATGAGTTGACTTATCTTATGGGTTCTGGTGGATGGGCTCTAATCAGGAGCCACGCCACGTTTTATAACATTAAGACACAACCAAGGTAACGATACATATCAGAGTCATGTGACTCGCCTGATTTTTACCAAAGTGATATTATTCGGGAAAACTGAGGTCCACATCAAGGCCTCACGATCCCAATTTATTATAGATATATTGAGGATGGATAGTTATATCTAAGGATAAAGGATACAGATAGACACTAAAGGTAAGAGACATAGTGTAAGGGCAAACATCATTACGTGTAAAGTAGAGACAGAATGTCATTGGATGTGAGGTTGGATGGATGGAAGACTTAGGTTTGGATCTTATCATTACCGAGTCATATCAAGTTTATCAATTAATCGTAATAGGGTAGCGTATAGTGTCAGAGAATCCTGGTGTATTTTCCTTTTGATTCTTCGCTTGAGTTCCTTTAGAGGAGGCGATCCTCATGTAAAAGTTAGACCCAAATGCAGTGTTACACAATATCGAAAGGTCCCCTGTAGGGGTGGGTGAGCCCAAGTCGTACATCGAATACCGCAGAAGTTAGTGAAGAGAAACTTGATTTACAATTCAAGCCAGAGACCACATATAAGACAAATCCCGAGAGACCTTGATTTAAATATAAATTCGGATAAACTTTTAGGAATCCCAGAAAAAAAACATCCAGTCCGTAATTTAACGAAGCAATACAAAATGGAGAAAAAAAATTGTAACTTGAGTAATTAATAATCATGACTTAACAGTAATCTAAATAAATTTAACTACTTATAGCATTAGATATTTAAACAATTAACTTATGTATAATCCATAATACCAATTATAGAAGGAAAAAAGAAGAAGAAACAAGATGACATGATAGGAGCGGAGGTAGATGAGATAATCTGTAGATATGCTAGACGCTAAAACATTGAAAATATGTAAAGATCAGAAGCGTTCTGGGACTCACACTAATCGTCACAATTATCACGTAGGTTCAATTATTGGGGATAAAAACCAAAAATCAAGCAGAGAGACATGCTTAAGATTATAGGAATGATTTGTAGGTCGTTAAAGATGAGGGCATGAGAGGATCTTCTGTACAATATAAACCCTCAAAGTCATGAAACATGAAGTTGAAACCAATGTATAGACGTAGTTGAGAGAAAGAATCATATAGAATAATACTGTATAAGGAAATTATGTACGAACAATGTTGCATTTGTATATAAACTGGAAGTGAATAAGAAGGATAAGCTATTATACATTATTTTGCTCTATAAAGTATTCATTCCTGGCATTATTTCCATTGAACAAAAGGTGAAAAAAAAATCAATAAGAGAGCTTCTTTTCATTTAATCAGCGAAACCTTCCATTTTAAGCAGCATTTATTTGAACATACCAGTGAATTTCGAAAGGATACCATTTAGGATACATAATTTATATGTAAAATGTAGGTGTAAAGTATTAAAAAATGAAATATTCCACCGCTCTTTCAACAAAATTTCCATTCATAACAAATATTATTCGCCGCGTCTTGAGAAAATTGTGTATATCTGTGAAGCAAATATCTCGAAGGTGTTTTTTTGCGCATTTAAAGCATACCCTGAACATAATCCCTAGTGTAAATACAGTCTCTGCTGTAGAGAATGAGAAAATCTACCTAGAAATCTCTTGCATTTTCACGCCCCAAGACTTGAGGATGAAGAATGAAGAGACTATGGTGCCGGCAAGTGTAATATAGGATTAAAATTAGACGGTAAATAGTACTATTATGCTCCTTTCAGAGAATGCAAAAACAATGTAACAAATTGAATTATTAATGTAGGAAGAATTATAATTGGTATTTTCCATCACAATGGCTTTTCTTTGATTTTACAGTGTGAAAAATAAACAAGATTATAAATTTATCACAAAGGTAAAGAACAGATTTACAAGACACGCCCCAATTCCCGTCAATATAAATCACTATAGTAAATGTGTGAGTCTTACACTAAGCCTTACATATCTACTGATGGTTGCGGATAACAATTTAACAACTAGTAATCAATTATCGATTACAATATGTGACATTTTGTGTTGGCAAGTATGATTTCTGTTACAGAAAATTCTGCCCCCAAAATTGTAATGAATAAATAAGAATTTCCCCATAACAGATATAAATATATGGCATATTTCACAATCCAATAACGCCGTATCTTGTGAATCTGCTCTTGAGCGACTGTAATTAAATAGCAAGAATATGAAATGTAACCCAAAAAAATGAGCAGCATTAAATAAACTACCATTAACTAAATGTAGGCTAACAATTGAAGTAATATTCCTGTTGATGTAGTATTGTGCAGATATATTTGAGTATATTTAAAACATAATTGAGAATGCAATTATTCATTTTTCCTCAAAATATCTAATGATGGAAGCATATAATTTTGTTCCCCGTTGATAAGTTACTGAATGTGTAAAATCTCACGGCAAAAAAGAAGCAGTGAAGAAATGATAAAAAAAATGTGTATGCTATAACTTTAAAGAAGAAAAAAAAAACATATAACTTATAACAATTACAATTAAACTTTTGATTGTTATCCGAAAAAAAGCAATGTGGTTATCATTGAGAGTGTCTTCATCCCCTTTTGTTGTTGCGCTATCTGGATGAGAAGGGAAGGAAAGTATGAGCTAATAGTCCCCCTTATTGCTTCCTCATAATACCATGAAGAATGCTGTCGCATACCAACCCTCGTGTTATGAGAAAATATTGTCAACCATCATCATTGTACACAAATACGTTTTTCTCACCATAACACTATTATTGCGAGATGTGTACAATTTCCATCTTTCTGATGACAAAACAGTCACCCCTCGATTCGTGATGTTGGGGGAGAATTTTTATGATAAATTGCCGGGGAGAAGCGCGTGATAGCAGCTCTGAGGCGGCCAATTTTGAGAAATCTTCATTAAATTCCTCCTCCCGCTCATGGTCGGAATCCCGGAAAATTCCCATGACGTGATGGAATCAAATGAGAAACGAACGAGAAGAATTTAAATGCCAATAAATCCCAGGGAGAGAGCCTGGCAGATTGCAAAGAGGAGTGGCACAGGGATAGATTTACTGGTAATGGCTTTCTTCCCTCCTATTTCACCCTCGCCTCTGGTGAAAGTTTGCACGAAAGTTCTATCGACAGAAACATGAGAAATTGAAGTTGAAATTGAATGGGCACTCAACTAACCATTGGTTAGAAATTAGATATTCAAATTCCAGCTCTAAAATGAAATTTTCCATACTTGTTAGGAGGAGAAGTCATGGCCAAAGATAGCAATTTCATCGTCAAATGTGTCAAAAGCAGAAATTATCCGCCCCGTTAGGAAGAAGTAAAAAAAAATCCACCTATTTTCCCGCACACGTGAATATTTTCCCGCGCAAGACGAGAGTCGCCATTAGAGAAAGTTTTCAATTCTGGCGTGCCTCATTAAAATCCACCCTCACCACATCAAATATTTCCATATGAAAGTGAGTATATTAGTCCAATTTGGTATGGTAATATCGTTAGTGCAGATCTCGTCGTCCCACAAACTTTTCCCTCCTTAAGGCTGACGACCTTAGACTCAAATGTAAATTTCCACCCTCCTCCTCAAAAAACCCACGCACGCACCCTCACCGCCCCTACACTGTATGCACTTTGACGGGGAAAATGTGCGCCTCGCCCCTCCTGTTGTTGGGAAAAATTCAGGGTGGTTTCATGCACTTTACGGCGCACCGGACGTGATAAAACGAGTAAATAATGTAAGTGTGGCACGGGAATTGTGTAGCTCAATGGGTTTTTGTTAATAAAGCACCAGACACAATCATCCCTCAGAGAGGGTGAGGAGGCCTTGGAGGGGTGCCTTTGTGCTCGGGGTCAGGCGGCATAAAAGAACTTCTCTCAGTGCTTCCTCTCGTCAGAACTTCACCCTCGCGCAAATCCCATTCCGATGATGGAAAATTATGATTAATGCTTGTCAATTTCCACACCTTTATTGTTGTTCTTTCTCATTTTCCTATCCTCCACAGATTCCTCCTCTCTCTTTTTTCAATCGCGCTGCGGAGAGCTTGAAAATTTCAGCGTGATTTATTTCTCTTTTGTTAAGGTTTTTCCTCTGAAATCGCACAAGTGTTGCAATCAGGAAAATTTCACATGTTCATAAATTTCTTAAAGTCCTTCATAGCATGAAATTCCTCTCACCCATAGGCAATGAAGCAATATAACCGCTGAAAATACCTTTCACACCCACAGAAATTATGTTCAGCGCAGCATCCAGAGGGAGAGAATCCTGGGGAAGTGTCTGTGGGGTTGGCGAGAGTGACGAAAAAGGGGAGAACGCAGGAATTGCACTAATTATGTGAACAAACTTCTGGCTGAGGAAACAATGACGAGGAGCAAATTCCAGAGCGAAAATCTCCTCTGTCGCTAAATTGGACCCATTGTGCGGCGCCACGCGAAGGGTGGCGAGAGTGCAGGAAATTTTTCACCTGCCGGATTTGGTGTTTGCCATGAGAGAAAATTCCAAGGCAGGAAATTGAAGTTGAGCGGAAGTGAATTTCGCCTTTGCTGGTGGAGAAATGTTCTATACAGTTCGGGGATGTTTTAATTGCTTAATTTGAATGTAATGTCGCTGCTGAGGATCTGAAGAGGGTGCAGAGGGAGAAATTGTCGCCACGTGACTGGTCGGAAAGTGTATTGTGTCGGCGCGGAACTAATGAAATTATTGTTCGGTCGATTATTATGATTGTCTCTTTAGAGAATTTCGAGGACAACTGGTTAACCCCTTATCGGCACGTGTTTGCTTTGTCCCTCCATGAATTGCGGCAGTGAAATTGAGTCGCCGTGAAGAAATTAATCCCACTCGTACATTGTCCAATTCAATCGCCGTGAAGAAATGTGCTGAATTGGAGAAGAAGTGTTGTAAGCTGTTGGATTTAGTTTCGCTCCTCTTTTTCCTCTCCCTCTCCCACCCAAGTCGAGAGACAATATTAGCTTTGGTGAGCAGCGAAACCACACTACGTACAATATACACTCTTCACGAGGGTGAGGAAATCCCTCCGACGGAGAACTCGAGGGACAGAGAAAGTCTGAAGATGAGGATGCGAGATTATGTTGTGTTCAACATTGTATAAATGTATACATTTGTATTCCAGTCATCGTTCATCCCCCTTTTGCTCGCCCGCCCACTTGCAGCGACCAAAAATAAACGAGGAAACTAACGAGGTAACATGTTCCCCCTGCAACGAACCCACCTTCTTCGTCGTCTTTTGTGATGGGAAAAAGGACGAGTGACGCGAGCGTGCGAGGATACCTGAGGGTATCCGACTGGAGCAGAGCCATAATTGACTGTTCCCAGGACAAATCCGCCGAAGTAGTCCATGCTGGAATCCTAAAGCTCTTCTCCTCTTAAAGCAATCGCATGAACTCTTCCCTTTTGTCACGACTGCCACTTGCAGGCAGTCTGAGTGGGCGGAATTCTCCCCAGGATTCCGTGTCAATGGCAGAAATCGTATTACAAACACCTTCACTCTCATCGTTCACCTGCAACCCCTTCTATTCACCCCCTGGATGATCCACTAAAAGGCCTGTCGCGTCCTGAAGATTCGCGCGATCACGGAATACTTATTTACCGGCGTCACGCAGAGCTTGGGTGGATGCTGGAGGCGATGAGTTGTCTCAAATGCTCAAAAGGAATGGGGAATTGAAGCATAAAACTGTACATGCGATGGGTAAAATAACACATGCTCTGTACTCTTCACTTCCTCCTGAGGAATGATTGTGTTTCATCAGGGAATCTATCATTGCATTGTTTGGAAGAAATGTGAGGGAAGAAGAGGAGCGAGTTGAAAAGGGGTGTTGGAAAAGATATTGCAGGCCTTCACGATACCATGGCTTATCTCTAATCTACACACTTGCCAGCTCTGCACTCAGCTTCTCCCCCGACAAAAGGGAGGATGAATGAAGAATGCTCACCAAGAGGATTCACCTCGAATTTCCTCCTTGAGAGGGATGAAAGAGAATGGAAGTGCACAAGATAAGTGTCTTATGAGTCGAAAGGTTCACTTCTATTGCTTCTCTCGACTGATATGAAACTTTAAAATAAAAGTCCCGGCAATTTGTTTGACGAAGACGAGACACGAAGAGAACTTTAAGATTTCCACCACAAACTTCTCTCCTAAATTATACAACATCCCTTCATAGACTGCCTTCGTATGGAGAAGGGATGAACCTAATTGAATTTCATGTGGAAAATTTTCCTCCGCTCATAAAAAGAAAAATCCAATTTGAGGCGGAGATCGATGACGGATGAGTGTGCTATTTTCAAATAACATCAATTTAACGTGTTGTCAATTCAATTTGCAAATCTATTTGGCAAAAATCGTGAAAACCGTCACAGTTTTGACGATTCCATGCGGAGGATTTGACGAGGAAGAAAAAACAATAAAGATTTATTGCCAATACACTTTGGGATTAACTTGGAGAACTTTAAAATTTCTCCAAAAAAAAGCGCCTTTATTTTTCCCAGCGTCCAATTTAAGTGCTCAATTCGACCAATTTACCATCAATAAATGAGGGTTTCTTTAACTTCGTTTCCTCTCTCTTGTCCTTTTCCTGCAGACAAAGCGAAACTTCTTCTCTCCTTTGACAATGATTTTCAGTGGAAAATTGTATAGAGCGCTGAAGAAAAAACCGAACCCAGTTTCAGCGGAAATCGCTCGTTAAGGTTTCTCAGAAGTGACTCACAATATTGTGTCAGTCGCTTGCAGAGTTTCACGGCAAATTGCGCAATGCCATTTCACCTGCAGAGAATGGAAAATGCTCTCTGTGAAAACCCACTAACCCTCTTGGAGTGGAATCATTGCCTTTCATCTTCTATTTATGTATTTATGGCGCACAGACATCAAAAGAGATTAAATCAGCCAGCGAGAAGTGTGGGCGTCGCTTCGATATGATTTTATCTCAATTAGACTTGCCAGTAATTATACTAATTACAATTGTGCCAATGATGTCCGCTGTCTCTAATTTGTGAGCGTGGATGCAAATGAAATTTATAGGTAGTTGCGTGGTCTGAGGGACTGATAAGAGAGCCAACAAAAGCACCCATTTCATCATGACCTTTCGCCGAATCTCGCATGGAATCTCTTGTGGCTTCGCAGCCACAATGATTTCCCCGAAATAGGGACAGAAAGTGGGGTAAAGTTTTCCGTTCGGAAATTGTCACCACGATAAGCCGGAAGAAATCAAGCATCTTCTCTTCCGCCAAAATTGTTAAGTATCAATTTGCTTCATCTTCGCGAAAATGGCGAACATTTTCCAATTTAGTGAATTGATGTGTGTTTGTGAAAAGAGTTTTTCTCTGGGAGAAATTTTTTTTATCGTACGGCGGAAAACTTGCCGAGAGTTTCGTGTTTGATTCAGAAGTAGAGAGGGTGGAAAGTGCTCAACTCACACATGCAATGGAAAGAGTCGGAAAATATAACATCTGAGCCAGAGGCACATTTTCCCATCTTCATACAAAATTCACCCAAGCACTTTTCTCGACAGTTCCACCCCTCTTTTGGTGTGCAGAAATTGGAAATTCTGCAAATGGGCATGATTTCCCTCCGAAGGAACACCTTTTCATCGCACAAAGATAGATTGCTCAACAATTTCCTGGCTTCTGCTGAAGAAGACTGAAAGATTCCAAGCAAATCGCTGGAAGTTTCTTTACCTTAAATTACATAAATCTTTCATAAGTTTTGCCAATTTAACGCAGAGACAGAATCTGGTAATGAGAAACATAATACAACAGTTTTACTTCAGACACTCTTTTTTTCGAAACTATCTCACAATTTGCATTACTTGAAGTGAAACTGAAAGATATTTTATTTTACACGTGTACATTGAAATTCTTCTGCAACACATTCTTGCAAATCCAATTGTGAACGTGATTTCTAGCATTCTCAAGAGACACTTTTGGCAATGATTGTGCTTTCATGAGGATTTATGGCGACCTGGTGAAATTTTCAAGGGAGCAACTCTGCTGGAGGCAAGGCTGGAGGACGAATTTTCACGCTCGTCTTCGTGCCATTAAATATTCACGCTCATCATGCTGAGAGAGTCGTGAAAAATTAAGGATTCTCATGTGGAGCTCCTTAAAACATTCCCGACGATTAATCAGTCCCTGTCAGAGATGCTGCTGATGAAAAACTTCCTTGACGATGAGCGTCAATGTCTCTATTTGCTGTCTGATGCGCGATTGACGGTCCTCGTGAGGAGGAGGAAAAAGAAAGAAGGGAAGGTAATGGCGAGGAGGGACTGGAGAATAGACTGGTCCTGAGGGAGGCATAGGGCATTTTCTCTATTACACGTACGCATGTAACAACGTTATAACTCTCTCGGATAACTCGTAATTCAGCAGAAAGCCTTAAAGCGAGCGTCGACATTAAAGGGCATCGCCGGATAAAATGTCAGAGATGCCCAACTCTTGAGGGGTGGAATTGCAGGTTTTTGCAAAATTTCCACCGGCGACGGTAATGTAATTTGATTTGGGGGTGTAACATGTCGAAGGGTGGTTTGTGTTTTCCATCCAGCGCGAAGGGAATTTAATGAAGAACGTGCTTTTGGGATTTTTCATCCTCGGGCGCACACACACATTAATTTTCAAAGGTATATATAGAAGCGCTCCTGAGGAAAAGGGATCGTCACAGAAAAAAGACTATTAGAAGCAAACAATTAAGGGGTAATTGAAATTTCTTGCTGAGATTTCAGTTAACGCTCGAAGGTCAATAAAAGGATGCTTTGGCTTTGAAACGTGGTGAATTGACGTGATAACACAATATAAAGACAGTTTTCCAATTAAGTTTTGTGACCACACAACTGATCCGGGATTACTGGGAGAAATCGTATCTTGACTGGTGGTAATTTGCTTGTGTTCGAAGAAATTCCTGCACAATGGAAATTTTCATTAAAAATTCCACTGCATTTCACTCCAGCACTTTTTCTGAGAACTCGCCCACGTTTTGGAATGGGCGACGAGTGACTGTAAAATATTCAAATAGAAAATTTAGAGCAAGGCTGACAGGGTGGCGAAGAAAAACACCCACTTCTCAAGAGTGTCTGTGCACATTTGTCAGGCGAAAATGAGTGGTTTTTTCTTACCAAGAATTCTTTATCTCTTCCAGGATGGCGAGATTCATTGCTGTCGCTTCCGAAAAAGTGGTTGTCTACAACAGAGGCCACGGACGAGTTTGGCTTTCCCGAAGTAAGTTTGCACCTCTTCTATAGAATGTATTAAGCCCAGGAGTGTGAGACTTATTCGCACGCACGCCCCAGAAATAAGGATGTTTCTTTCAAGCGAGAGATTGTAATGCAAAGTAGGACGTCAATTCTGAATACTGTATCTCCCATAGGAGCTTAAGTCATTTCAAGGGTGGAATGGGATGAAAAGGCGAGAAGGAATTTCAAGTGCTTCACTCTCGAGTGGGGTGTGAGTGTCCTTGTTAGGGAAATAAGGATTTCTGCACTCGGAAAAATTGCAAACTTTCAGATGAATAACACACACAATGTTTTTAGTAGAAGTGCGAAAAACCATGAAAAATCTCTCTCTTTCTCCCCATTTTGCTTATACCTTTTCATATTTATTCGCCCAAAAAGCAAACCATCTGACGAATTCACACGGCATTAATGATAAAACTCACCCCCGAAATCCTGTAAATTTATACAATGTTTCTGTTAATGTGAATATTTATGCATTAATTCCTCGGCATTGTATCAATTATGTCTTCGGGAGGGAGTTTTAACCCTTCTTGGATCGATGGTGATTGTAATTAAATCAAGATCGTTACATCAATTTGCCGAGGGTGTGGCCAGAGATGGAGCAATTTTCCTCATTTTCTGATTAACCCACCCGCAAAAACGGATAAATTACGCCCCCCAAAAAGGAGATGATTAAATGTCTTGGCATTATTTGGGAAAAAAAGTGTCGTATGGAGAATTTCTCAGCTTGCAATTAAACAGTCATCCATCAAATTCTTATTTTCATTACTATATAGCGTCCACTCGAGAACCCATTCAATTGCCATGAATACATTGTGCTTCCTCTTCGTGTTTTTCTCTCTCAACAATGAAGAGAGGCACCCCTTTCATGTTGGGGCGCATTATTAAATGAGAATGATTTCCATGCTCGGCGGCAATTCTCGAGGCGGTGAAAAAGTGGATATATACCGTCAGCTCACTACGACAAGCACGAGGTGCCTTTATCGATCGCTCACCTCTCAGGCTCACCTTCGTCCCTCTGCGCGCCCTTTGACCTCCTCACTGGCGCGCCGCGACGCAAGTCAGCTGGTGGATTTATCCCTCTGCTTGCAGGGTGATCCGACTCTTCTTCTCGCCTGCCGTGGAAGCCAATTAGGGAGATTTTTGCAAAAGAAAGCCCTTCAAATCAAATATTGGCACATCCCATTGAGGGATTTTCTCGCACTTGTACATGTTGGCAAATATTGAGTGAATTCCTCGGCTCTCGTCTGTGAGGAATTTCAACATTATCTTGAGCACACAAGCCCACCATGAATCTCATCATTGACCGATAGATTTGGTGCGAAATCTCCCAGGGATGACGATATTTGTTCGCATTTGATTTGCAAATTCCCGCCAAGGGTGACTCAATCAATTTGTCATATAGGGCAAAACGAGGCATTTTCCAGCGTGACTGAAATTACCCCGCTCTTCTCTATTGAACTATCTATATAGATTTTTTTTCCTCCCAAGTGAGTCACCCTGACGAAAATGTCCCTTTTTCATTCGTCGCTCAAGGGCGTTTGTCATCCCTCTTATAAATTAAATTCCAAGGGACTCAAACTATTTTCCCTCCACAGGATCTACCAAAAGTACCTGTCCCACCGCTGGAACAGACAATGGCCGAGTACCTGCGCCTGCTGGAGCCCTTACTCACATCGCAGCATCACGAGCGCGTGAAGGCGATCGTGAAGCAGTTCTCCGCTCCCACAGGACTCGGCCCCATCCTGCAGCAGTACCTCGTGGAGAAGAGAGAAGAGGAGGCGAACTGGGTAAGAAGACTTTATTCCGCATTCTGTAAATCCACACACACACTGCACAGCACTCAGCATCAGGATCTCCGCTGGATTCATGGACAGAAGCAGGGATCGTCATGAGGATGTTCCGTGACTGGCGGTGGAGCGAAGTCTGGCGGACGCTCTCCAATTGGTGGCTGAGGATGAGGCCAGTTCTCGACTGGTGGCATGGGATGCTGGGGTGGATTGGGTTGTGGCCAGTTCTCGACTGGTGGCATGGGATGCTGGGGTGGATTGGGCTGTGGCCAGTTCTCGATGGGAGGAATAGGCTGCTGCGGTGGATTGGGCTGTGGCCAGATTTCTACCGGAGGAATTGGCTGCTGGGGTGGGCGATCAAGTGGCGGCCACTGCTCAGGACCCTCACATGGAGGCTCTGGCAGATGGACTCCTTCGTCCCAGCACGGAGGGCATGGCGTCGGTTCGACAGGACAGCACTCCTGGACAGGATGCTCAGGTTGCTGGCACGGAAACTCGGGCAATTGCTGACCGATGTGGTCGTTAACATTCTCAGGAAAGGGGTTCACTTCGGGATGAGGCTGAGGCCACTGCTGTTCCGGAAACTGAGGCTCTTGGGGCCAATCATGTTCTGGGAAATGTGGCTCTTCAGGATGCTGAGGCCAGCCTTGCTCGGGGAATTGCGGCTGTTCTGGCCATCCTTGCTCTGGAATGTGGGGCTGCTGAGGCCATCCTTGTTCCGGAAACTGAGGTTGCTGAGGCCAATCATGTTCTGGGAAATGTGGCTCTTCAGGATGCTGAGGCCAGCTTTGTTCAGGAATATGCGGCTGTTGTGGCCAGTTCTGCTCGGGGAATTGTGGCTGTTGGGACCAGCCTTGTTCAGGCATCTGTGGCTGCTGAGGCCAACCTTGCTCTGGGAATTGAGGCTGTTCAGGACTCTGCGGCTGTTGTGGCCAATTCTGCTCTGGAAACTGAGGTTGCTGAGGCCATCCATGTTCAGGCTGAGGCCATCCTTGCTCAGGTTGAGGCCAGTCTTGCTCAGGCTGAGGCCAACCTTGCTCAGGCTGAGGCCACTGCTGTGCTGGATTCTCAGGCCACTGCTGAGTCTCCGGCATGACCTGAGCCCTGCACATTGAAGATCTCTGCCAAAGACTCTGTTCCACGCAACTCTGCACATCGGAATTGAACAACATCATGTATTGGCACTTCAACTCCATGAATTCATCATGTCCGATGCAGCGAAAGTACGCAGTGCTGTCCTGGCAATTGGGAAAGAGCTGCCCAATGTTCTCGGCCGTGCAGTGAGGTCTGTCCGAGGCTACAGGAGCGCCCTGAGCCCGGAAGACGACACAGAGTGCCACGATGGCAACGAAGACTGCAAAATGGGAAAATTAGCACAAGAGTCACACAACTTTTAATCCTCCGCTTGTTACCTTTCATGTTGATTACTTCACCACCCACGATTCTTTGACCAGACCAACAAGCCGCGATGGGCTTTTATAGGGAGCAAATGTGACACTCACTATCTTGCACTCATTTCACGCGGACATGTAATTCCTACCATTTATCTCTATTGTGGAGCGATTCATTACACTCAGACGATCATCGATCACACTGTTCCACCTGCCCAGGTTCTGTCTTCTGCGCTTTGTGCTGCCTGTGGCCGAAAAAAACGCGAGAGAGTTGCACTCTTGGCAGTGCGCGTGGAGTGAATTTTAAAGTGGAACAACCCCAGTCTAATCTCATTAATTTTTCATCCCTACATGGCACAAGCGAGGGAGTGCTGATGGGTGTGAGGGATGCGTGTGCTTCAGGACAAATATTGACTCAGTAGCTGGTCCTCCGCAATTGAGGAACGGATGCTGTCCCATGGCAACAAAGGGGTGGCGGGATGCCTCTTGTTATATTGGCATTTGCTCTCCCATTGTGTATTTGCTCCTCAAATACGACTCACACAACCTCTCTCTCCCTCTCTCCCTAACGAATCCACCCTCAGGATGTCATGCGTTGCAAGTTGGCTAAAAGTTTTCAATATATACTTCAATGCCATGGCAGGAAAATGCATCGATTTCTCCCCAGTCGTGTGCGACTGACAAGAAAATTGATAATTAATAAATAATTGAGGTGTGAATTTTGCGCATTCCAATCAATCGGCCAATCTCGATGACCAATCAACGTTGATTGATTAATCAGTAGTGTATATCTTTAAAAATACCTCAGTGACCTAATGAAGACCTTGTTCCGCAGGCCTACAACTACTGGCTCAACGACATGTACATGGACGTGAGACTCGCCCTGCCAATCAACTCTAATCCAGGGATGGTTTTGCCTCCGCGCAAGTTCACGACAGTCCATGATGTAGCTCGATTCTCTGCCCGTCTGATTGACGGCATCATGAAGCACAAAGACATCCTCGACAGGTTCATACATTCCTTTATCAATATGCCATTCACACGAAGCCATTATCAAACTTGTAATATTTTCCACAGTGGAAAACTCGCCATGGAGCGCGCGACTTCGCGGGAGAAAGGACAACCCTTGTGCATGGCTCAGTACCATCGCTTGCTCGGCTCCTGCCGGCGACCTGGCGATCCTCAGGATAGTCAGTATCTGCCAGAGAGGCGCACGGATCAGCACATCATTGTGACGTGTCGCAATCAGATGTACTGCGTCCCCATTCGAGCAAACGATCGCGGTCAGCTGTCAGAAGATGAGATTGCATCTCAGCTCCTGTACGTCCTCAGCGACGCTCCCTGTCTCCCAGCCACGCCACCACCTGTGGGCCTACTCACAGCACAGGCGCGCAATGAGTGGGCTCACGACAGGGAAGCTCTGCTGGAAGAGGAGCAGAATGTGCGAAACATCGAACTGATTGAGCAAGCTCTCATTCTCCTCTGCTTGGACGAGTCCTTGCCCACCTCCTTCAACGCCAGGGCAACTAACGGAGATCCTCTGCTGGGACACCACGTCGCTGGCCGGGATGAGACCAACATGGAGCACGAGATGATCCATGGCGGCGGAAGTGAGTACAACAGCGGCAATCGGTGGTTCGACAAAACCATGCAGATCATCGTTTGCAACGACGGCACTTGGGGTCTGTGCTATGAGCACTCGACTTCTGAGGGCATAGCTGTGGTTCTCCTCCTTGAGGGCATCTTGCGAGCCATTGACGCGATGGGAAACGTTGAGGAGGGAGCTGGACAGCATCATTTGCCACCTCCAGAGCGCCTAGAATGGGTGATAAAGCCACCGTTGCAGCGACGCTTAGTCGTGGCGGCGAAGTCCTTCGATCAACGCATTGAGGATCTGGACTTTTACGTCTATCGCTATCAGACCTACGGCAAGTCCTTCATCAAGGCTTGTCAAGTGAGTCCCGATTGCTTCATCCAACTGGCTCTGCAGTTGGCTTACTACAAGTGAGTAGAAAGCGATTGAAGTCTATTGCTTAGGTTCTTAATTGCTGCACTTTCTTGCAGACTCTATGGGCACCTGGTGAGTACTTATGAAAGCGCTTCAACGAGAAGATTCCTCCTGGGACGAGTGGACTGTATCCGATCGGCAACGTCAGAGGCTCTGGAGTGGGCCAAGGCCATGTGTCAGGGTGAAGGACCAAATGTTCCTTTGGAAAGTGACAAGGAGGAAGACGACAAGGATGCTAAGAAAGTCACCTTCAGCATTTACAGCGTAAGTCTAGTGTTCTTTTGGTGTTTAGAACAGCGGGTAAAATTACTTGAATTGCAGAAGGATCACTTGAGAGAGCTGTTCAGATGTGCAGCTGCTCGCCAAACTGAGATCATGGTTCAGAACATCCTGGGACATGGCATTGACATCCATTTGCTGGGCTTGAGAGAGGCTTGCAAGGATCGTGGCGGTCCAATGCACGAACTCTTCACGGATGAGAGCTACAAAATCGCCAACTGCTTTCTCCTCTCCACGAGTCAGGTATTTCCCAAGGACTCTGCACCACAAAATACTGTCTGTATTGCACAAACTCAGCACTGTGATAAAGCAAATAAATTAAATTTCACACAATTTGCACGAATTATTCAGCACTTCTTACTAGAGCACTTCACGAAATGCCTGGCAAGTTTATGTAAGTGGATATTTTCGGAGAAGAATATATACAATAACAAGTGAAACTTTCACAGAGTATTTAATTAAAATTTTCCAGAGATGCATCTCTGAAATTGAATGAAAACAGCAAGAGCTTGTAATTAATTATAAAACTCAACAGAGTGAGAGAGAGAGAGCTTTTAGTGAGGCTTTGAAGAGCTTCTCTGTGGGAATTGCTTCTAATCTAATATTCTCAATTGCTTGCGCAGGTCGCTTGCTCAACTGACAGCTTCATGGGCTACGGACCTGTGACTCCGAAGGGCTACGGCTGCTCGTACAACCCTTATCCAGACGAGATTGTCTTCTGCATCTCGGCCTTCTTCTCCGCCGAGAACACCAGCGCCACGCGATACGCCAAGTCGCTGCAGGACTCACTGGATATCATGCGAGATTTGCTGTCTTCGTAAACACTTCAACCCTTAAAACACTGAACGCTTATTTTAACTTTTGACGAATCGAAAGCTTTACAATCACGTGGGGTGAAAAAAAAAATGAAGAAACACTTGAAAGCTTGTGCACCAGAATCTAATTCTGAAGAAAAGAGAGAACATATATATATATTTATTCCTAAAAAGGAGGGAAAAAAATCTATTTAGTGTTGAAAAGAGAGAATTTATTGGTGTTAAAAGTTGTTGAATTGACAAATTTCCTGTGTTAATTGAAGAAGAAAAAAGAAAAATGTTTTGTGTTGAATCTTTAGATGAAACTTTGAAGTGAAAAGGACACATTTTATGCCTTTTCCGTAAAGAATTGTATACAGAAAATAATCAAGTATAAACAATTTTTGAAGAAAAGAAAAAGACATGAAACCGAAACATATCAATAACTATAATATTGTTAGACTATTCTTGAAGGAAAAAAGAAAAACGACACATATCAATCAACGGATATTTTGTAGTAAGAACAGGACACTCGCCAGAGTGTCCAGGTTAGATGCCTAAAAATGTATATTATACAGAGGGGAGGAAGAGTATATTGTAGGTGAAATTGAATGTGTAGATGTAGATAAAAGTAGAAAACCACTGCGTGTATTAGCAATATCACAAATTCTAGTTTAGTAGCCCACCATGAACAAGACATAATAACTGAATATTTATTGGACAACATGGGATGTATTGGATGTTTTTTCGTGGACAAAGCATTTTCTTGGGCCCCTCTAAATAATGAAGAAAAAAAATATCCTCATTCAACTTATCATATAATGCCAAGGGGTTGCTAATATTGGGGATCTTATCTATATTCAAAATTCATTTATCAAATTATTGTGCAGCATTTTTAAAGAGCGGAAGGCGAATTTCTCTTTTGAGAAGCTCACAAAAACCAATAAATAGACAACATTGCTTCATTACTTCATCTTTAATCGAATATTTACGGTTTTACGCAAGGTTTTATGTGGAAATTGAAGATTTTTCTAACTTTTCTATACTTCTCTTCTCTCGTTTTTCTCACAAAATCTTCTAATTTCTGTATTTAAACTCTAAAATCTATCTTCAAACCTAAAACTTCGCTCGAGAAGACAATTTGCTACCTTAAACTCATTTTTCTCCTTCATTTTCTACTCTTTCTTGAAATATTTTCTAAGATCTCTAAATCTTCAAAGGAACTTTCAACACACTGAATGTTGAGGCATTCAATATCTCTATTAGTAACCCCTTGTAAATTGCTGATATAATTTGGGCTACGCTTTGTTGCGGTGCAGAATAAGGAAATTCTGCCGCTAATGTAGTCCCAAAGTATTTGTATAGAATGTACAGTTTTTTCGCTTAATCTCACGCAGCTTTGTCAATATGATCATTTTCCAGGGTCTCTCCTGATCTCTACGAAGTGCTATTAATTTGCTCTGTGTGCGCACTCGATAGATAAATGATCACTTATAGGCAGAAGTACTGTATTTTGACGATTAGATATCATAGGATCATAATAAAGATACAATTAGATTTTAAGTTTTATTTTCAAAGTTCATCCTCGCGAAGGACAAAAAAGGCAAAAAAGAAAAAAATCGAACGTCAAAGTACACTTCGATAGACAGTTCCTTTGTGAGTTGAACGCCCGCACAGTAACTCTTGTCCATTGATAAAGAAAGAAAAAAAAAGAGATAATTAGAGTAGGTAAACATGAATGATCATAGCATTATTGATGAGATAGTGTAAAAAAACAACAAGAGATATAATCATAGTTTTAGAAGGCAGGAATAATATTGTGAAAAATACTCAATGGAATTTGATGAATTGGCTGACAAGAGACCAAAGTTCCTACGGATGAAAAACACACACAGTCTGATTCATCGAATTCGACTGCAGGAAGTGCTTGTAAAAAATTCCCTTTCAGTTCTCATTGTTCTTATTAATTGTCAAAACATTATTGGACTAATCACACGCTCGATGTATTAGTGAAACATAGACTACAGTCAATTTCAACGTGTATCATAGGTGAGAAGCATCACAAACATTTGTTAGGCATTAGGAAGCATATATATAAATAAATATTATGTACGTAAATTCAGATTGAAAGCATGTGTAAATAATCACTGACACAATGCGCAGTGTTTAAAATGTGTTTGCATTTATGAACGCCAGAGTTTTCTTGATGCAACAAAAAGGGTGCCCCGGAAACATGTTTGAAGTTTCTTAGACGTTATATCAGGAAGGAGTGGTGGAGAGAGCATAACCAATGCATATCAATAAAGAATACCTTACTCGTCATAACTGTGTAAATAGGCATAGGCAAGAGAGCAAAGTATTAACTGAAATACATATCATAAATATAGCCAGAGAAATGTGTGAATTTAGCAGATAACGAAATGTGTTCCAATATTTAGTGAGACATCATGAAAAAGCCACTCTGTGGAATGCGATGTAGATGGAGTGTAATAAAATATTTATTGGAATATTGTATGACTTTTCCTCTTCACCATCCTTAAAATATACTTCGGGAAGACAACACCTCAAGCAGCGATAGAAGAAGCAGTGAAACACGAATTGAGTCAAAGGTTTCATTATAAATTCTTTATAATTTTATCCAAAGGGACCCTTTAGTCTTTCGGGACTATTGAGAGTCCCTCAAAATCCTCCAAAAAGAAGAAAACAACAAGAAAATCTCATTTACTTTTCCGTAAAATATAATCTTTATTCTCCATTTGCAGTGTGTCTCGACTATTCTTTGAATATTCCTCACAAATACCATAAGAAAACTTCTGTGTTTTCTTGTGTATATAAAATAACTTTCATGATTACAGTGATTAAATTATAGGCACTCTCCCTATACAATTCTACAATCATTCACATCGTGCCAACTTTGAGCAAACAATTCATCTACAGCAAGATAAACAGAATAAAACCAGTAATAACGAATCACGTGTTGTCTCACATTCCTGAGCTATTTAACATAATAGTCAATATTGATAAAAGAAAAGTAATCAACTGGAAAACATATCGCGCATAAATGTATAACAATTAAGATACTCAGTGTGTAGTGAATAAAACTACTAAGACGAACATTGAGAACGCTGTAAAGTGTTCAGGACTTGGGCTTGTGTCTTTTGGATCGTCTAATCTCCTGCTGTCTCTTGTCATCGCACGAGCAATCGTCCTCAAGACCGACCTGTGGAGATAAAACACCCTTAGAACTCTCTCTCTCTCTCATATCAAGGAAAACCCTTCAATCTCACCTTGCAAAAGTTGTGAAGCATCAATTCATTGGCCGACTGACGAGATTTGGGATCGTGTTGCAGACAATTCATCAAGAAATCATGTCCTTCTTGTGATAAACTGTCCGGCGCCTCAGGAGTTTCTCCCATTCCCACCTTAAACATAATCTGGAAGTTGGAGTCAAACTGGGCCCAAGGTCTCTGCAAAAAACAACCCAAAACATTAGCAGAACATCCAAACATTCTCTTTTGCATTCTTCTTCTCACCTTCCCCGACGCCATTTCGATCACCACACAGCCCAATGACCAGATATCAGCTGCCCTGCCGTGTCCTTCGGTGTTATTCTTCGTGAACACTTCCGGCGCCATGTACGCCTGCGTCCCAACATATCCCTGCAACTCTCCAGGCACCGTTGTGTGCGTCTGGAGCTTCACGGCGGATCCAAAATCACCCAATTTCAGGCAATTGGATCCGTTGGTGAGAAAAATATTGGCAGTCTTCACATCCCTGTGTACAATTCCATGGTTGTGGAGTTCACCAACGGCCGAGAGGAGTTGAGCTGTAAAGCGACGTGTCAGACTCTCATACAGACCACCTGACAACTCCACGAGACTCTCAAGAGTGCCTTCCGAGCAGAGCTCCATGAATATCAGCAGCTCCTCCTGGAGAATTACAAAAGAAAATGAGCAATATATGGTTTAAAATGGGCCATAAAAGATAACACATACTCGATGAATCTCCACTCCGTAGTACTTCACGAGGTGTTTATGTGTAATTCCCTCGAAGATCTTCAGCTCTTCAGCCACACGACGAATGGCTCTGTTCTCTCCCGGCTGAATTGTAATCTCTTTCATTGCCATCAATTCACCTGTCGAATTATTAACAGCCGTGTAGACTTTTCCGAATCTTCCCTGGCCAATCTGCAAAGGAAAAACGCGCCCAATTATTCAACAATTACACTCTTCTTAGACTGAAATTACACACCTTTATCCCTCGATGCCACCTGAATGTGACACTCCTTGAGCGAATGTGAATCTTGTCACAAGTATTGAGCGACTTCACCTGCCCAATAAGATTCCTCTCTCTCAATTTATTCTCCAACTCCAGATCCAATCGATTCACTGAATCTCTCACGCGAATCTGCCTCAAAGGTTGCGTAAAGTTGGTAATCTGCGGCACAATGATGGAAATGCCATTCGTTGATGTGTCACACGAAGTCTGCTTCCTGATCATGTCCGGGGAATCTGGCATGCTGGTGGGCGAGAGTCCAACTGCCTCTTCTCTCAGGCTCATCTGTGGCATCAAATTCTTCTGCGGTCCAGCTGTGATATTCATCTTCCCAGGCGTGACTTTTCTCGCCGCTGGACTTGTCTTTCGCGATCGTGGCGATGGTCTCTTGCGCTGTGGCTCTGTGGTGATGCCAATCACATGAGAGATACACTTGTCCATCATTGCCTTCATCTCTTCGAACTCCTTCTCGCTCAAGTGGCGCGAATTGGATGGATCACAGGCGAGAATGAGGAAATCAAATCCCTGCGCAGCCCATCTTGGTCTCAATCCTCGTCCTCTCTCACATCGCTCCATCACAAATTTCATCCACATCTTGGCAAATCCAATAATTCCCAGTGACAAATTGAACTCACACGAGCTGTCTTTGCACGTGACAATCTTCGTCTCCATCATACGCACCAAATCACGATGGTATTCAAAGCCAAACTTGTAGCCTTGATGGAGAATCTCTCGGGATCTCGTCAGCACCGCCGCCTTGTCCACCTCATCGAGATCCGCAATGTGCTTCACATGACATCTCTCCTCAACCATCTCAATGATCGTCGTCAGCTTCTCCCTCACCTTCAGCGCATCCCTCTTCAGCACCGTGATCGCCTCTCTCACCTCCAGACACACAAAATCATCGCCCTTGCACTTCCTCAGGTACTCCTCACTGTGATCCCGATGGAAGTCCGAATGTTCAATATCACGAATTAGCGTCTTGGCGAACGCCATCACCTTCACCGCCTTCTCACGCTCCTCCGTGAACAGCGACTGTGTGGCACGACAAATGGCCAGAATCTCCCACTTTGACGCCTCCCCATGAGCCGTCTCGTCAATCTGATCATCCAGCTCCGTTGCCCTTGTCACCAGTCGCGTCCCAATTGTCCTCAAGAGATTCCTCACAATCATGCAGAATCTCCGCGCGGCACTCGAGTGCTGTCCGGGAATCATCGGACACACCAGCTTCGTGAACATCCACTCCTTGTCCATGGCAGATCGCTGATGACCCTCCGGAGCGGCAATCAGCACCCACTGCTCCACATAGTCCAAATACAGCTCCATCACCTTCTTCACCGTCTTGTCAAACTCATCCAGAATCCCAATGTACTTCTCCAACTCCGGCTCCTTCTCACACAGCGCCGTCGTGATGTGCTTATTGTAGCGCTCACGATGCGTAATCGCCAAGATCAAGCCCTCCCTCAACTCCTTCATCAGCTGCTCCAGACTCAGTGGATTCGGCTGCACTGGGCGTGTCTCCAATCTCAATCGCAGAAACTCATGAATCACCTCCATGGGAATCAGCGATAAGAAGACAAATGATGGGACATAAGATGGCAAAGCCAGTTGTTCAAATTCAGGACTCCAAATCCCATATCTTCTCAACTCATCCTCCTGTTCCTTCTCCAGCGGTGGCTCCATAATCGGCGAATCAATCTCAAACAACTCACCCTCATCTGACTCCTCACTTCCTGGCTTCTCCAGCGTAATTTGCGCCTTCCGCAGCACAACATTGTGCAGTCGATGGAGGAAATTCAGACTCTTTCCCAATCCTCGTGACTTCAGCACCGTCTCAATATACTTCCTGTACGGCGAACCATGCGCAGGATTGCGACTGAAGAGATTCACCTCATTCACCAACTTCCCAAAATCACCCACCGGCGGTGTCGGTGTGGATTCCTTCATCATCGACTCCCCACTTATCGTGCTGTCATTCGAACTGCCCGACTCATTTGTCTCATCCAGCGTGAATTGCACCTTTGGCGGTGAGATTTTCGCACACTTGGAATCCACAGAATCTCTCCCTGAGTCTGCAGTGTCCTGCAGAGATGCTGTGGAATTCCTGTGACGCTCCTCAATAGCCACTGGCCATGTAAACGGTTCACTCTGCGCTCTGGCCATCAATTTTCCCAAAATCATCAATTTCAGCCTCTGATGTCGCGTAATATTGTACCATAAGCACATTGCCTTCACTCTTCCCACGAACTCTTCATTCTTGTAGATCGGATAACACTGTCCAAGTGCCTGAGTTGAGGGAAAAAGTGCCTCTGCCGCTTCTAATCGTGTCAGCAACACTTCTACTTGCTTCATCGCCAATCCCTGCTGATCCTGACAATCACGACAGTACATTGACAAGCATCCCGTGCACGGTTGACTCACTGAAGACATCATTGGACTCCTGCCGCCACCCTCCTGAGTTGAACTCGCCGAATCTGACGCCACACCACTGTCCGTATCACTGGCCACGCTGGAGGTGCGCGAGAATCTCGGCTGGAATCTGTACGACATGATCTCATTGAGCAAATCCCCAATTCCCTGTCTGGCTGCATACAAGTACTTGTCCTGCTGCTCCAGCGTCCGATCAGCGTGCCACGCTTGCAATTCCAACCATATTAAGTCTTGTAGTTCCGTCTGGTATTTGTACTCTTCATGGGAGAGCTGAAAAAAGCGAGAAAAAAGCGTCCAAATTGACATGATAATCTCTTGTTTGTTTTAAATTAAACGTTTGTGAATAGATAAAATTTTCCCCGGACAGGAAATTATACATAAAATGTGAGTATTTGTATTACTCTCACTTTTGCCAATTAAATTTCAAATCACAAGTGTGTTTGAGTACTTGAAATATAACTCACTTTGCTTTCCTGCTTATCCACACTGCCCAGCTTAATGAGATTGGCAAAGGTTTCGTGGAATTCCTGTCGATTCTGGATCTTTGGCATGTCAGTCTGATCGAGCTTGAGATTTGCCGCAAAGGCCGACGGCGGGGCGGACATGCGACACCCCACAGGACGTGACTGGACACTCATATATCTGTTGCTGCACTCAATCAACGTCCCACCAATCTGTGTTCCTCCCGTCGTCGTGACCACATTGTTATTGTGGACTGTGACATTGGACGGAAGGCTCTCCGTTCGCTCCTCAATGCTGGCATTGCTCAGTGGTCTGGAGTGACGATTCTGCATCAGATTCACCGCCGCCGAGGCCATAGAAGACAGCTTAATCTCTCTGTCTGTCTCCCTTTGCAGCTGCAGCGTGCGCTTGTCCGTCCTCTTGTGCTCATCCTCGATGAACATCTCATTGAGAATGGCACAATCCATCGTGTTGCGCCGATTCACCCTGGATCTGGACATCCTGGCGGCGCTCCTCTTGCCATTTCCCTCCCTGAAACAACATTCACGCAATTTTTAGCCACCGCAACACGATAAGACAACGCACATTTCACCGCCAAGTGTGACTCACATTCTCTGCTTCCTGTCCCAGTCGCGATTCTTTATCTTGATCCTCGTGCGTGGCGGTGTGCTTCCGTACTCCTCATAGCGCGTCAAAAGATCATCAGTGGACGAAATTGGCACAAAATCACCAACATCAACTCCACGATCACCTTGTGGCGCTTTCGTGCGAAACTCCACACTGCAAAAAGGAATGCAAAAAGAAGACTGATCAAGAGTCCAACCAAAGCCAAGCCTGTGTAATTTCCTCCCGCTTCGATATCACAATTTTGATAACAATATATAATACAACAATAACTCAAAAACCGCCCGTCAAGTGTTTGTAGATGTTCTTCTTCAAACAAACACCTCAAACAACCGCAAGAGATTTTCTGATTAGAAAAACTTCTTTATCAGAAAGAAGGAAACTTGAGTGTGAGAGAGAGAGTCACTTTAATAGGCCAACTCACGATCTCTTCTTCCCCTTGAACTTCCTCATGATCACACGACGAAGGAGTTCCCAGCCAATTGCTTGACTTCTCAAATCAATCTTTCCTACTTTTTCTTCCCCTTCTCTTCCTTGTGAACAACAACACTTCCTCAACACCGATGACAATGACGAGCTGGCATCACTTGATGCTCCCATTTATAGATTCACCCTCGACAGTGACTCTCGAGTGGATCAAATCCCGCCAATTAGCATTGATAACATATCGGCAAATATTTATTTATAGTGCCGTGAAAGCGATTTCTAATCGATCACAGCAGAAATTGTCCCGCATAAAAGGATTTTTATCTGTTTCTGCATTTGCCATGCGATGCCAAATAGACGCCAAAAGCTGACTAACACTCTCTTCAGAGGGGTTCATCAGCCGACCGCTCTGCGTGCACTCGTGAATTTTGATAGATTGATTAAGAAATTAGCGAGAGAGACAAAGAGAATTGTGGGTCAAGAGACGAGATATTTGCTTTTTTCGCTTCTTCTTTGCACACAAAACACTAAAATATATTTGATGAGTCTTTGCACTGAAATGAAAACCACTCGCAAGGTGTTGTATTTCCATAAAACAAACACAAATTCTGCGTGTTTTTGGCATTTCTCAACTTCTGCTCAGTTGCTAACTTTATTTTCTAGCTTGTTTTATTGTGAAAAGAATTATTTTATCCGGTTTATTGAAATTTCACACTCTTCTAAACGACATAAATTGAAATTAAATATTTTTTAAATTTTTCCGCGAAAGAATAAATTGCTTGCATTGCAAACTTCACATTTTCTGACGTTACAAGATCTCAAATTTTCTACTTTGTCAGCTGATAAACCCCCTGGGAAAGTGGAAAAATAGGTGTTTAGCAATTTTCACGGGTCTTTCATCACCTTGAACACTGGTATGGCTTCAGTGCAGCCCCCATCGGCCGTCCGGGCAGACGGAAAAGTGCCTCCGGGAGGAATAAACCGGATTCGCGCCTCTTTTCGCGCATTGTCTCCCCATTATTTAATTAATCACAATTATACACCCATCGCGATAGTGGCCCGCGAATAGATAACGATAAGGAGTTGTGTGTGTGTACTCTAGTCTGGAGACTCCCCCGAGTGGCTGTCGCCTCCGGGAGTGGAGACTCAGCGCGAGGCCGGTCGCGGGTTTTCCCACTCGACTGTCTCTCTGCGTGGGGAGGAAAAGTGAGAGTGACCTTTCCGGAAGCGCGCTGCTTCTTATGCTAATCGCCGCCCTTCATGCACTAATTGCCTGTCACGGTCGCACTCTTTGCATGCTCAAGTGCGCGGCTGTCGAGGAGATCTGGAGCTGGGATAAGTGACGTCTTGGCCGGGAATCCCAGAATCGCGTCCTCCGCAACTCTCAATTACGTCACAGGAAAGTTTGGGGCCGCGAAAAGCACTTTGGCACAGCAATTGAGCTGATTTTATCTCACCACTCACACGGTCAGGTGTCTGGCGCCTTGACGAGGTACTTTCCCTGGTCAGAAGCCCTCCGTGGCTGGGCAAAAAGTGGTCCGCAAAAAAATGATTGCGCAAAATAATCACCTGTCGTCCTCCTCGCCGGAACTGTAGTTGATCGTGATTCCCACGCGCTTCTTCCAGTCGGGATCGGCCATTGGGTAGCTTTTCGGGCGATAGCACTAATTTTAGACACCGCCAATCACCATTTTCCCCGATTTTTCACGGTTTTTCCACGCAATTCCGCACAAACACGCAAATTCCACGGCACTCACCGACTCATCGACTGACGTTCATCGATTTGGGACGCGCGCGGGTTGCCAGCGCTGTCACACGCGCGATGGCAGCTCGCGCGACCGAAGCGCCGCCACCCCAGCAATTGATTCCCAAGCGTCGCAGAAGTTGGGCGAGTGCTGGAGAAATTTGTGAAAATCCTGCGGAAAAAGGATACAGACGTGGTGGAAAGTAGTGTAAAAGTGAGAAGCTGCATTTGAGCTACGAAGTGAGGTAGGTGTTGGTGCGCGGGCTGTGGTATTAACAGCGTGAGGACGGATGATATTTTGTGCCTTCTCATGCGGTCTCCCGCCATCTTGAATTTGTGGCCCCAAATCTCTTCCTTTTGCTTTTCACTGACCCAATTGAGGGCCTCTGGCGCCACTTTCACTCCACAGACATGGTTGGATCGCGTGTCTACGTGGGCGGTTTGCCGTACGGCGTGCGTGAGCGCGACTTGGAGCGCTTCTTCAAGGGCTACGGCCGGACCCGAGACATTCTCATCAAGAACGGATATGGATTTGTGGTGAGTGACAGACGGAAAAAATGCGCGCAGTTTCTTGGCACTGAGACGGTGTGTTTTGTTTTGTTTTTTCTGCAGGAGTTTGAGGACTACAGAGATGCAGACGATGCGATATATGAGCTGAACGGGAAGGAGTTGCTGGGCGAAAGGTAATTTGCTTTATATTCCCGTCACAAACCTCCCGGAATTAGCCAAGAAGGGGTCGATGAATGCTCGTCAGGTCGCCAGATAAGGGCATGAAGAGGCGGAAGAAGCTTCCCGAAAAGGCATTTCACGCCCAGTCTTGTTGTGACTCATTGGCGAAACGCTTGAGATTCTACCTGGAAATCCCAGCCATCTGGCCAACTGGCTGGCATTCTTTCGCCCCGCAGAAATGCTTAAACCACTGATTAGAGAGTCCACAGATATACGTTTTGAGGCTGATTTGGAGGGGCAGACAAATACCAAATACCATCCACTCTGAAGGTTCATTATAGATCCTGATAATTCAATAAACATAGGTCTTCTTCCAGAGTCGTTGTTGAGCAGGCGCGAGGCCAGGCGAGAGGTGGTCATCGCGATCGCTATGATGATCGTTATAGTCGCAGGGGGCGCTATTCTGATAAGTAAGTCCATCCTTTTTCCTCTTATTGCCACGGACTCGAAGCTGCTGAGTCGTGAAGTTGTTGTAGAAGAATGTTTCTGTGGTAAATTGGCTCACAATTTCACGGTTTATTATCATAATCAACTATGTATACAGTTTTGCCATGTGTTTCTTTCTTTTCTGTATTTCACAAGCTCAGGAAGACGATAAACTGTTACATTGACGAATGAATTCTCTGTAAAATAACTCATAAGTCGTCATTTAATCACTGAGTTTTGTTTTATCTGTTTAAAAACGTTATTATCAATAGTCTCGTTGAGTGCTTAACTAATATTGCATTGCAAAACTTTCACTAAAAAAGAACGTAAAAAACAATTTGGCCATTGAAAACTATTTCAAATCAAATTTTTTCCCTCATTTTGACATAAAATAACCTCATAACATGCTTTTCTATTTCATTTTCAACTGATTTTCAATAACAAAGCATGAAAAATGGGCAAAATGACGGTTTTTGGGTCTCTTTTACCCCAAAAGATTCCATAAAATAATTGTTTCAGTGGGTCATTAACCCAAAAAAAACCTGTTGTACAATTGGCATACTTTGTGTTCATAATTGTTTATAATGTCGTTTTGTTGTGTTTTTTTCCCTCTTGCAGATCATCATCTCGCTATGGACCACCTTTGCGCACGGAGTATCGCTTGATTGTGGAGAATTTGTCGAGTCGCGTGAGTTGGCAGGTAAAGAAACTAACGCAGTTCTTGTTATCATTCTTTCAGTATTTCTTATTTCATATATATTTTCTATATTATGCATATATTATTTCTGATCAAAATATCTCTCCCCCGTTTGGGGGGATGAAATATCGATCAAATGCAAGAGAGAGACTGTCTCGTGGGTCACACTGGCAAAGAGTTGGATTTCTCCTCGATTACCTCGTGGTTGAAGGATGAGAGAAGAGGCCTCTGAGATGATGATCTTCGCAAATATCGACCAGCTCGAGATGTGTTTTCACATGATAACGGAAAGAAAATATCCTCAAGAAGTTTTGCTTGAATTTTCACGCGATTGTGAGATTGATTCTCGTGTGTGGATTCATTGCACCATTTGGCGAGGCGAGGCGTGCAGCTCTCTCAGACGAAATGTGGGTCCTGGTTGTCTTCTGATGGTCTTCTGGCTTTTCCCCCTGGTTCCTCCGCCCCGTTCTGGTCTTCTGGCTTGCGAGCTTTCCCTGACGGTCCGCGAATAGTGGTTGAGATGTCTCTGCAGCCCCCTGAGATGTGGACAAAATGACGTTGTGTTAAATGGTGCAAAGAACCACAGAGAATCTCTGCACTTTGCATTTGACGCTCTTAAAGTTAACTTTCATCCACAATAATAATAATAATAATCTTGAGGACATGTGAAAACACACAACTGACGTGTTGACAATGATGGCATTGATGAGAGTGGCAAGAAAACAATTAGAAGAAATACACACAGAGCGTTGTGTGACGGCGAAGAAGGCAAAAAAAAGAAAAGAATCGCAACGAAGCGAGGAAAGAAGAAGAAGCCCACAAAAGACAAACAAATGATGATGTGAAGAGAGGAAGGAAGATGCATTGAGAACCGCACACAAATTCATGGATGACGACAATGTGTGGCATTGAAAGCACGCAATATTTCAGCGAATGTGATATTATTTCTTTCTTTTTTTTTAACATTCCACCAAATGGTTTATCTTTCTTTTTTTGGTGATAAGCAATTGATTGCTTTGGCGCTAAAAGAGCGTAAATGAGTGTGTGAGAGAGAGAGAGCAATCGATTGCTTATACTGTTCCCTTGTTGGTTAATGATTTTAACTCTTATTTCACGCTAACCACATATTTTTTTCTTATTTGTCTTAAAATTGCATGCAATTTTTTCCCCTTAATTTTTGTAAAAAAAAAACAACAACTACATTTTTCGTCACTTGTAGCTTCTTTTAGAGCAAAAAATGCTTTGGTTGTACTTAATTTTCTTTCTTTTTTTTTGGTAAAAGAGACAAAAAAAAATTAGAGATAAAGAGGAAATAACATCGACATAATAATATTAAAAATTGTAGAATCTACTTTGGGTGTGTTAAAAACACATTAGAAGAAGTAATTTGATGGCAATTGATTGTATTTTCAGTCTTCAGAGCCTTTCAATTAAGTCAACTCAATTCAAATGACTGTGTTTTTTTCACCCCTAAATAGATTCTGGAATTTCATTTTTTCCTTAAAAAAAAGAAAAGAACACAAACTAAACACGCAGATGAAAAGAAAAAAAAACATTGTGGATTGAACATTAGTAAAATGTTGTAATATTAATGTTTTATTCAAAGAAAAGCCTCCTCTAATTGGGGTCCGGGCACGTGAGCGGGACTGTGACTGTGACACGGGGGCCCTCTAAATGGCATTGTGGTGGCGAACGCGCGTTGGTGCCAATGGTGTAAACTAAATGAGAGATGAAGAGAGCCAAATCTGCCTTGCTTGATGTGCTTCTTCTGGTCTCCTTCCCCCCAAAAACCGATCTTCGAAGAGAGAGAGAGAGAGAGTGACCAAAGACGATAATCTCGATGCGCTTCTCCTTCCGCTGTGTGTGACATCCTCACACAGATGATGTGGTTTTCCTAGATGATGGGATGTTTGACGTCAACGACGACTGTTGGTTGCTTTTGTAGCGAGCGAGTGAAAAGAAAAAGAGACAGAGAGAGAGAGAGAGATAAGAACAAATAGCCAAAAGGTCTTCTCCAGCCTGATCAGATGATGATCAACCAGAACAAGTCATCCAAACAGAAACACACACAATTCTCCTTCTATCTGTGGCCCTTTTCCGATGACGTGGTGGTGTGAAAAATCTATCTGGTGAGGACAAGAGAACGATGACCGAAACACGAGCCTCAAAATCCGCGCGAGCAAACTGACTGTGTGTTGACCTGAATAGACAGAAAGCCTCCTTTATTGTGTTCCTGGATTTGGGATGCAATAAAGGCCCTCTTGGTAGCGCTAAAATGGTTAATGATTGAGTCCAAAAAGAGAGAGTTTAGAGGCTGATGAAAAGGTAAAAAGCACATAATGTGTGAATTTATAACATTTATATCTTTTTTTTTTTACTCTGTAATAAGAAAAGAAACATTAATTGAGCAATGACTGAATATTTTGAAATAAGACAAAAATTTAACTCTTCCGTCATTGCTCGACACTTTTGCAAAATGAAGAAGAACAGAATAAGACGAAAGAGAGTGAAAGCGAAAGAGAAATGGTAGAAAATGGTGATTTTTTCACATAGATTTTAAATCACATTTATTTTTTATCTCTGCTCAGAAAAGTAACAAAATGATTCTTTTTCTCCACAGGACAAGGTTGCAATTTCTGCAGAGAAGAAAATAATAAGAAACATTGAGATGTTTTTAGTGATAAACAGTCGCTGATCGCACTTAGAGAGACTTGGATGTTGGGCGTCTAATCAGCATTTAAAACACATCAAAGTGATGATGAACTGTGAGGGGCGCGCAATTCTGGCTTAGGGCGATGCTGCTGATGGTGGCAAATCTCTCCTCCTTCTCGATGTCCTCGTGTGCGTTTGTGTGTGTGTCTCCCAAAAGGGTCTCTCTTCTGATGGTTCCTCCACTCTGACGCTGTGTGTCTTCCTCCTTGACTGGGCAGATGACATCCACTCACCTCATCTCTTATCTCTCTCTTTCCGCCCATCCGGGAGTCTCTAGTGCGATCTCGCCAATGCCATGCGACGTGAGAAATTGCAGCCTTGTCCTTCTTTATCATCATCATTTACTTGATTATTTTTCTTTAAAAACACATTTTCTTAATAATTGATTATAGAAAAGATATCAATTTATCATGTTTTTTTTTGTTGTTTGTTAAATTCCATTTTGATTCATTCAGTTAATTGAAAGAGAGATGATAATTGGAAACGGGATGTAAGGCACACAAGTGAATTTTGATATTTCAATGAACAAGAGACTTTGCATGACACTGTGAATTATGTTGTTCTAATCGATTATTATCTCTGGTATGTTCAGGACCTGAAGGATTACATGCGCCAGGCTGGTGAAGTGACTTATGCTGATGCTCACAAGCAGCGTCGCAATGAAGGGTGAGTGAATTTGAGAAGATTCTCTCATTTTAAAGTCCTTCAAATTGACTATATATAAAATCTATTCTTTTTGCACAGAGTCGTTGAATTTGCCTCGAGTACCGACATGAAGACGGCAATTGAGAAGTTGGACGACACTGAGCTGAATGGACGTCGCATTCGTCTGGTGGAGGATCGGCGATCGGGACGCGGTGGCGGTGGACGTGGCAGATCACGATCGTCGAGCAGTCGCTCGCGCTCACGCTCACGTAGGCGTTCACGCTCACGTTCGCCACGTTCCAAGACCCGCAGTCGCTCCAAGTCACGCGGACGCTCCAAGTCCAAATCGGCAGTCAAGTCACGCTCGCGATCCCGCTCCAAGTGAGTTTCCTTTTGAAAGTCTTTTTATCTCTTGCGCTGGATTAATTGATGTGCTTTTTTAATTTTGCAGGAATTCTCGTGACAATTCCAAATCCAAGTCTCGTTCGCGTTCACTGAAGCGTGATTCGCGCTCACGATCGCGTTCTGCTAAGCGTGATCGTGACACACGTTCACGATCGCGATCACGATCAAAGTCCGTTAACAACAGGAAGTCAATGTCGAGGTTTGTTGTGTGATTGCAAATTTTACTACAAAAAAGACAATAATAATTGCTGTTTTTGCAGGGATCGTTCTGATCGCTCTGAGGAAAAAGATCGCAAATCACGTTCGGAGTCGCCAAAGAACAATGGAGGATCGCCTGGACACAATGAGAGCATGGAGGATTAGATAAGCCATGTTTCTTTTCTATATTGAATTAACAAGAAAAAAAGAGGAAGAAGAAATAACATTTGATCAACTTTCCGTGTATGAGAAATTATGCAAATTGATCCGCATAAGATTTTTTTTTAATATAAATTTCTAAGTGAAGAAATAATTGTGTCCAATTCGCGATGATTTATATTTGATGTTAATAAAAATGTGCAGAGTTTCTTGTACATGAAAAGAAAGAGAAAAACAACTAAATATATTGAGTGTGTATTTAGGAATGGGGATTAAAATTGGCATTCATGAGAGAAGAGGAAAAAGAACATAAATTAAGAGTATAGAATTGCTGAGCACACCATATATGATTAAACAACAACAAAAAATAGTAAATTTAGAAGTAACTTAAGGAAGAATAAGATCACTTTTGATTTGTGGTTTTTTTTTATAGTATAAACTAACATTTATTTAGAGAGAGAAACAGAGAGATTAGTTTGATAGTCCTTTGATATTTTATACAGAGAAGAATGGAAGTTTATTTTATTCAATAGAATCTATCAATTGAAATAGTCTTTGCAAAAATCCAACTGCGAAATATTGTAATTTACATATTTTCTCCCCAATATGGTACATATATAATATTAATTATAGTCTCTAGTACACATTGAAGTCCTACACATTGGATTTCTTCCCCCTTTTTATTAGTGGCAAGAAGATATATATATATATAAATAGTAATATTTCAGTAGTTCTTAAGGAGAGCCGGAACAGTTTTTGAGTAACAAGATTTGAGACTATTTTCTATAATATAACCAGATTGGAATATTTGGGAATAATTTGATTTTAATGATAAGAAAATGTGTAAAGCCGATATGTAAACCTCTTCTACACACACACAGAAATTGCTATATTTGGAGAAGAAGATGATGAAGAAAAAAAACGTACATTGTAAACCTTACTTGTATAATGACAATTAAAGTACGTTTTATTGGAGAAAATCTGTAAGATCCCTTCAATTGCAGAGAGTTTTTTCGAGTGCAATTCAATTGTGATAATGAGATCTGTTTGGTTGTGAGATGGGAAACTTCTTGTCTTAACAGTCTCCGAAGTAATTGACACACATTTAATGTGGAGGATTTTTTTTTCTTCCCAATTTTTTATCAATTTGGCAAAACGCTTTTTTTTATATAAAAAACCTCAAAATTTGACACAACATTGCTCAATGACTACAAAGAAGCACGCTTTTCAACAATAAGAACTACAATTTCTAAAAGGCAATTTATAATCTCTCTGTCAAAATTTGGCTGAATTTCTGATTGGCCCCTCGAACAACACTCTTTCATAATCCTTCTTTTAACATCGAAAACAGATCTCAAATGCTGTTAAGAATTGCACTCTTGTGATGAATTCGTCCTTAATTCCTGTCCATCTCTTCTCACACAGACGCGCGCTCGAGACTGAGAGTGCTCGTGATGATGTCCGTGGGATGGTAGCCGGGATCCAGCAGGAGTTCGTGATTGATGCATCCGGTGCCGCCCAGGCAAGTGCAAGAGCACACGGACATCTGGTCGTCCTGCTCGGCGGCGCAGTAGTTGTGCTGTCCGGGAATCCACTTCTCGCTCACGTTCACGTCGCTCTGGTAGTTGAAGGTGTGGCCAGCGGCGATCTGGGCCTCGGCCTCCTCGCGTCGGATGTCCTCGGCGTTCATTGTCATGAAGCGTAGCACCAGCAAGTTGATGCTGGCCGCCACCACGGCCAGGCCAAACAGGATGAAGACGAGACTCAGCGCCACGTAGCCGGGCTTGTTCTGCAGCGCCGAGTCGTTCTGCAGCGCCACGTAGTCGCCGAAGCCGATGGTCGTGAGGGTGATGAAGCAGTAGTAGAAGCTCTCGAAGTAGCTCCAGCCCTCGTAGCGACTGAACACGGCGGCGCCGGTGGTGATGATGATGGAGGAGAGGAAGCCGGTGGCCATCATGAGGTTCATCTCCGTGGCTTCGGTCTCCTTGCAGCGCATGTAGCGCTTGAAGCGTCGGATCACGACGGAAGCGAACTTGTTGAGACGCTCACCTGCGGAGAAGGTAAGTTGGCAGTTTTGCTAACATGTCTGGCACACTTCTCACCGATGCTCTGGAACATGACGAGACCCAGTGGGATGCCCACCATGGCGTAGGCCATGCAGAAGGCCTTGCCACCGATGGTGACGGGCGTGGAGTGGCCGTAGCCGATCATGGCCAGGACGACGGTGGCGAAGTAGAAGGCGCCGGCGAACTTCCACTGCGGCCCCGCCTTGTGCGGCTTATTCTCGATGATGACAATCTCCAGCATGCGATAGTCCTCCTGGCTGATGTTGTACTTCTTCATGAAGTTGTTCCGGACGCTCTGGAGGAAGTCCCAGCGGCGGCTCTCCGTCTCCGACTCGAGGGCGTCGAACACGGCGGCGCCGATGAGGAGATAGGTGAAGGTGCACACGACGAGCGAAAGAGTACGTACATTTTGTCGCTTCATCCTGCATTTGAAGTTGATTCCTCCTGGCATTTCCTGGAGCTCTGCAAAATATCCACACACAACATGTTCGCATTTTCCCGCAGCGCAAGTGTGTGACTTTTTCTCACCGCGATTTTCAGGGATTCATCATCTTTTTCTCACTGCTTTGTTCACCACACACAACACTCATTGAATGGAGAAAACGATAAGAGAGACAAAAAACCGCCAAAGCGCGGATTGATGCAAAAATCCTGCCGATGAATTGATTCTAAGCACAAAATCCTGGTGTTTCGGGTCACTTTTCCAGGGGTTTTGCAGAAGACAGGCGGAAGAGCTTGGCGAAATGGAAGCGAGAAAAATTGGCGAAATGAAAGTGTTATCTCCAGCTGAGACTGAGCAGAGAGGACAAGAGTTATTGATTTTCCTCTCTCGCGCGCGCTCAACCCCCAAAATCACCCTGGCGCGTCCCGAAGCGCAGCCGAAGCGCGCTGCCACGCAGAGAAAGGAAATCCAGAGCGGAAGCAACAAGTGATGCCCAGAGGCGAAGCAAAAGGTATTTTATGTGAAACTCTTTATTAATTCCATAATCATTCACAATTTGTAGTTTTACACAACTTGCGCGTGGGTGTGTTTTCAACACAGGAAAGAAGAAAGAGACCTTTGAAAAGAGTGTCTAAAATTGTTTAATAATGTTTATAGAGAAAAAAAATCACGAGTCGCCGCGCGGCGACTTCTTTCCCAGAGAAACTTTATGTTGTGGCTTAAAGAATTACAACTCGGAAAAAGTATAATTCTTAAGAGCATTAAAATCACCTTTGCTTGTTTTGCTTTCACGATTGCCGTCGAGCGCAATTTCTCAACATTTATCATCATCATAATAATATCAGAGAGAGAAAAAAGAACATTTAAAAATTAGTAAATTCATTATATGATTTTTCTTCAGAAAAATATTCCACCAATTATAATTGTCTTAAGTGTTAAAATTTTTTTCACCTCTTATTTTTGAGAGGCGACGAGTTTTTTTTTGAGACGCTTTTCAGCCAAAATTTCTGTGATTTTACATTGATAATTATTGTTACATTTATTGTACTCTTTGAATGTGTTAGAATTCACTTGATAGCGTATACTGGTTGGCGATTCGAGAACACTTCATGCGCTGTCCTCTTGATATCGTGGCAAAATATTGAGAGAGGCAAGTAATTAGACGGTTCAATCAACAACTGTTGCAAGGGAGAAATTATTATTTCTTTAGTTTCAAGTCGATATGACTATATAAATCAACTTAAAACCTCATTTTGGGTATTTTTTTCGACAATAACCTGAAAATACAACATTAAAAGATACTTTGAAATGCCATTAAAAACAATTAAGCACAAAATCAAAGTTTTATCGAAACGAATATAGCAAGTATTTTAACTCTTCAATTTCAGACCAAATTATCTCCTCCTTTTATTGATGAAAAATGTGATGTTTTCACGGATTTTGGTCTAAGAAAATATCTTCCGATAAATTAAGATGGGAAATTCATGGCTTAACCATGATTTTATGGAATTTTCCCACTTCCACCAGTTGCTGATTGAACCCCCCGTTCCGTGATGTGAGTCTATTATAGTAATGCTATTTCCGGAGTCTTTTGCGACGCGCGCCATGGGCGGGAATGTCGGGGGAGGGCATTTATCCTGAGAGGAGCTTCCAGTCGAAGCGCTGGTTGTTGGTGTGCGTGACTGGATAGCACGGCGGCTCAGTCACGCGCCACTCGTTCTCGCCCACCTGTTCAGTGGCCACGAGACTGCAGTAGGAGACCTTCTGCATGACCTTGCTGAGCTCCGATGACTGCCTGGGCGGCTTGGCGCACAGATCTCTCGTGCAGGCGTCCAGAGTGATGGCGTGACCCACAATCAGCACGTCTCCCGTGGTCTTCTTGATGATCTCGCGCGTGATTCGGTCATTGCGCGCGTAGAACTGATGCAGTGACTCCTCGAAGTGGTTGTGCAGCTGATCCGTCGGGATGAGTGCTTGGTAGTCCATCGCGACGTTGTAGCCGGCGTCCGTGAGCTCCTGACGCGTGCACCACTCCACAACACTGTCGCCCGAGTGGGCGTGCCAGGCGAGCCACTCAAAGAATCCCGGCTCCAGATTGATGGGCAGTGAATCCTTGAGGTGCATCCCTTCCAGCACGCCAGTGGCTGTCTGGACGCAGCGATAAGACGGCGACGCGTACACGTGAGTGAAGTTGATGCCCGCCTCTCGCAATCCCTCGCCAATCAGCGTGGCCTGATAGACACCGACATTGGTCAGCGGCGAGTCCTTCTGCCAGCCCAGCATCACATTTTTCCTCCGCGGCAGCACCTTGGGCATGTTCAAGTCTTTCCGGTTGTAATTCCCGAACTCGTCGAAGCAATAGGGAATCCAGGAGCCGAAGGTAAAATCCACCCTCTCGCCGTGTCGCATCACGAAGATCCTCCGTCCGCGTCCGGAGACCTCCTGAGTCACTTTGGCACTCTTGTCCACCGCCTCGGACAGGATCGACGCGTTGGTGACTTTGCTGACCATCTGCTGGAAGGCCTGCGACACATCCGCACCGTAGAGATCTGGCACAGAATTCTCCTTGGTCACCGCGACGTCCTCAATTGGAGCTGTGCTCTCTGAGGAGTTGTCCTGCTGCTCCGCCTTGCCATTCGACGGCTCCGGCTCGTCCATGGGCGTGTCCACAATGGCTGGACACTTGCAGAGCTGCACCGTGCGATGCATAGTCCAGGCATCGGATTCCGCCGTGCGTTCGGTGTAGTTCTCAGGCAGGAAACCATTCATGCCGGTCAGCCAGGAGATGCCCTCCACCCAGCCATCGGAGCTGTTCTGCAGAGCATCGCTGCTCAGGTAGATGTAATCCCCAATCATCAGCTCCAGCTCGTCGGGCTCACGTGGCGTGTGAGGATAGAGAATCTTGTGCACTTGCTTGGTCGCGAGTCTGGCGTCTCTCGAGTACAGTCTCAATTCCCATCCGGACGCACAGGCGGGATCCAGTGAGTCCACGAGTGCCTTCAGGGCGTTGAATTGAGCATCCGGGAATTGATAAGCCAGCGTCAGGTGGAGTGACTTCACGTGCGGCTCCAGGGAAATGGCTGAAAGACACACAAAAAGCGCATTAAGAGATGCTGGAAGTGGAAGGAATAGAACGGCACTCAAGGGAAGGAGACTTTACATCTGCTGCTGCGCGGAATGCACCGTGCCCCGGATGTGACTCCGCCACACCACGGAAAACACGCCACCAGCGCGTCCAGCTGCTCGTACGTGTCGCTGATAACTGTGGAAGTTATCGTGTCCACGGAGGCGCGCGCACAAAGAGAAATGCAATGCAATGTTATCTCAGACAGACTGCGGGGAATGCGGTCTGGACACTTACTTGAGTTTGACACTTCCTTCACGTACTGCAGTGCCAGACGGTTGAGGTAATTGGCGTCCTCCTCGGCCACAAAGAAGCCCATGAAGTTGTGGCTTGTGTACAGCTCAAGCTTCAGCGGGCGATCCAGATTGGCGGCCGCCTGTTCAACCACCTGCTTAAGGGCGCGGGAGAGCTGAGGAGCACACTCATCCGGAGCCTGGAAGGGAAGTGAGATTCCAGCACAAGTTCAAAAAATACAAAGGAATACGGAAAAAGGACTCAATTTAATTATGATTTCTCCTCAGGAAGCATTCGAGTGGGCGGGGCGTATAAATGGGCGTGACAGTTTAGGTTTATCCCTTTTAAAACCACAGGTGAAGAACCAATTTTGCAATATACACTCGACTTGGTGTAGTTAGATAAAGTAATGAGACACACATTGAGTCATTGACGATGATTTGCAGATTTTTTCCGGTGAATGTGTTGCTAAATGACTTGCCGAAGGTCTTCATTTGGCATTTTGCTCTCTATTTTAGCCAATATCCGAGCTCATTTATCTTATCCTTAAGGGAATCCGTTTAATCAATGAGGAACCTCAATTTATTATTGAAAATCCTCTCTTCCCACTTGACTTATCGCATTCCAGAATCGTTGAAAAATAGGCCACAAGCTGATAAATCAACATCACTTTCACATTGTCTTATCAAATCGCTTCTAATCTTTCTTTCTATATCGGCAGAGAAAGAGCAAATCATCGTTAAATATTAGCTTTTCTCACTGACAAGCGATGATAGTGACTGGCGATGATCAGGAGGAGCTTCTTACCTTGAAGAAGGAGACCAGCGTGATGTGAGGAGTGAAGTTGTGGGCTCCGTTCCAGCCGCACAATTCCTTGGATTTGGCCCAGAAGTCGTGCAGCTGCTCCAGGAAGTGTCCTGTTGGGCAGGCGTACAAGATGTACTCCCTGGGCGAGCACTCGTCCAGCGAAGGATCATTCACGTGTGTGAGAAGCCAGTCCGAGGCCAGCTGCACATCCCTGTTCCCCGTGGCGGCCAGAGCCTTTTCCCTGCAAGATCATCAGCCCTCGTGAAATCCTTCTTCAGCGAGAGACGCTCGCAAGTCGCCCGGATACTCACGCCCTGTGCTTGGGGAAGCCCATCTGCAGCAGCGTCTGCAGGGGCGACAGGTGTTGCTTGGAGATCTTCGTGGGGGTTGGATTTTTCCGGGGCGGAAGTGTCGCCATCGTCAAAAGGAGGAGACTTTATCGCGACTGTGCACGCGAGACAATTTTACCACGACGGACTGCGATAAGAGAGCCTCCGGTCAAGTTCAAGAGCTTCGCTTTCACGGTGACCAAACACAGAAATGAGCTCTTTTTCGCAGCGACTTGACAGCTGACTCGACAGCGCTTATCAAAATAAATACACACAATGCGAAGTGTGCGTACGTCGAATGGGAGTTTGACGGAGAGTTTCTCTCTCTCATGCGCGAGAGTGAAATTCGGGGTGTTTTATCATAAATTCCGTGGGAAATTGATAGGCAAGAGGCGCTAAGTTAGCCAGGAAGAGACATTGCATGGTAATTTTCCACTTGACTTGAGATTAAAGAGCAGTTTTAGGGGTTCAACCATTGGGCGCGATGCGCCTTTTAAAAATAACATAAATACAACCACCGCGCATTCTCGCTCTTCCGCTCTCTTTCTCTCTTCAACTTCTCTCTCGAGTATTTTGAATATTTCTATGTGTTTAGTGTTATTGAATGAGTGTAGTTTTAGTATAAAATCAATCAAAATCAATTCGTGATGACAGATATTGTGAAATCTTGTGAAATTATAGTGATTTTCTGTATAGGTTTTATTGAGAAGCTCTCTCAATTCTCTCACGCATTATCTACATCAGAGCCACCTTTGAGCAGACATTGAATGATGAAATATTTCATGAAACATGAAATACATGAAATAAATTTTATTCTGACAATTTAAGACAAGAAAGATAAAACAAATAGAAGAGATATAAAAAAAGAAATAAGAAGAAATCTTGATGTTAGAATTTTGTCTAAATATTTCTTCTCTAAAATACCGAAATAATTGCATGAAATTGTCATGTTTCACTGATGTTTGATGAAATCTCCTTCAAATCACAACCGATAAATCTTTTATTATGATCTCTGATTTTCTTTTCATTTTATGTATTTTCCGTATTTTCTGGTTCTCAACAGAGTCACTCATTTTTTTTATTTCCCTTCCAAAACAGGTGACTTTTATTCGTTTCGGAAGGAAATGTTGCCACAAGTGAGGGAGAGTGAGACAAACCGCCGTGTTGGACGAGATCTCAAGGATGTCCGGATTTTGCGGCAAGAAATCCGCGAGCGCAGTGAGGGAAAAAAAAGATCTCTGTGGCCAAAAGAAGTGCTTCGAGATATTCTGCGTGGTGTGCAAAATATTCCACAATGGCAACGAGATGCAAACACGAAGTGAATTGCTCAGGCAATTTGTCCAAGATCAATGTTTTTGGCGCTGGGCAAAGTTCAGCCGAAATTGACGTAGAATTTGGCCACAAGAAGAAGAAGAAGTTCTTCTCTAGTCATTCTTGCGGGGGATTTTCTATTCACACACTCACACAATTGAGATCAATCATCTCTCGTGTGTTTTGCTTTGATCATTCCTCGAAAGTTTTTTTCACTCTGTTGTGCATTAAAAAATTTTCCATGCGAGAAGATATTTTCTTCAGATCAAAGCTCAAAATGTTGCTGTTCGACCTTTAAATTACTTTTTATGCCCGGTAACATTTCAAGACACCCAATCAATATATCGCCAAATAATGAGAGGAGATATTGCTGCTTGTCAGTGGAAAATGCCTGTGAAAAATAAGCATGAATGCGGAATTTGTGCTATAAAAGATTAACTTTTTAATTTCGTGAAATCGAAAGAATTTGAATAACAGGAAAGATTTTCCATTTTTTATCCATTAAATTCTATTCTTCATTGCAAAATGTTGTGCAAAATGTCGTTTTATTTTAAAGTCTTCTATAGAATTAATTCATGCCAGCTTTTTATTGGTTTTTTTTTCTCGCGACCAAAATGCAAAAGAACGACTGCAAAATTTCATGAATTACTTCTGACTTGAAGAACTGAATTCATAATTTATCACATAAAAGTCATAAAAGAGAGTCCCAAAATGCAAAACATTTTGAAATTTTGGGAGAAGATTTATGGAGTTTTTCAAGCGAACAACATAAATTACAGTGAGAGAAAAAGGTGACAAAGTGTCGGCTTTTCATATGCAAATGATTTTTATGGCAAATATTGCTCATGTCAGATGACAAACGGGAGCGAATTTGAATTCAATGTGACTCACTTGCAGACTCACTCAATTACTCACTAACAAGTGCCAATAAATGAGATTCTTTGTGATAATGGAGAAAAATTGCCGCATGAATTTGACTGTTTACTTAGAATATGGAAAGATCTCTTCAATTGCTTTCATGTGAATTTGTCGTGAGTTCCGGCTTGATCTTGATTCCATGGAAGTGACAAGACAATATTGACTGTTTGGCAATTCTTTTTTTCTTGCCTCATCACACCGCGATAAAGCAATCAAACAGTCTTCTGTGGAAAAACTTCTCAACGCATTGCGGAAAAGACTGTAAACAAATTTCTACTATAGCACAAATGGTGAACGCGCTGTGTCGTCAATATTAAAATCCACATCGCATGGCGGGTGTTATTGTGGGGAAATCCCAGAATTGCCTTCATTTGTGTGCTATCATTCGCTTAATTCAATTAGTGTTTTTAATATGAAGCCGTGCATTGAAGAGTGAGAGGAATTCTCTCTCTCACTTGACTTTTTCAAACATTCAATTGACCGGTTTGCAAGATTGTCCACGATTATTTCTTTTTTCCGTCTCTCTGTCTTCCAGAACTCTTTCCACGTCCGCTCCGGCTGACCAGGAACCCCTCGGGGGCTCAGAGTGCCTGGCAGGAGGGAGCAAATGGTGGGGGCCGCGAGACTGTTACAGATGCTGCAATGCGACGAAAAAATCCGCCACTTTCACCACCAATCTGGGCGGGGAGGTGAAAGAGATGACTCTGGCCACCAGTGATGCGATAAAGAGATCAATGCTGCGGCACAAGGAGCTGCCAATTGGATGATAAGTGATTGTTGAAAGGATTTTCTGCCTGACCAGCGTGTTATCACCTCAACTTGACCCCAATTCTCAGGTGAGCGCGTCGAAGAAGCTCTTCTCACAATTCAGGAGAGACTTTTGGCCTTTCAATCGTCTCAACACGAGCGCGCAGAGATTCCCCACCAATCTCGCTGAACGCGATGCAAAGTTGAGCGTTTTTTTCTTGGCTCTTTTGAAGTCATCGCAAAGAGCATGATGGATTTCTGTGTTTGAGGGAAGTTGAAGACATTTTGGCAAAAACTTCCCGTGAGAGCAAAAGTCGGTGAGTAAATTTGCACTGCGGTAATTTTTGTGCAAAAAATAACTCGTTGGCGATCAACTGAAAGCTGCCTCAAAGTTCAAGCGTGATCTTGCTAGGCGATTTTGGGTAGTTGATTTGTGTGCAAACCACTTGTAGCTCTCCCGCTCAGTGGGCAAAATGCTCTCGCGCAATGGCTCTCGAGAGAGCCACACAGACGCATGAAATATGCTCTCAGGCAGAGCTGAAGCGCGAGGTGCGACTGACTGATAGATTCAGGTTGAAGATTGACTTAAAGAGATTTGAAAGGTCCATTAAACATTGTTTTCGAATAATTTTTGCAGCTTGAAAGAAGCTAAAAATGCCAGAATTTAATGCAAAATGGGAAGATGCTGATCTTTTCTATGCAGTTTTTCTCAAATCCTTGTTATCCTTGTGAAGATTTCATGTCACAAGTCTCCCTAAAAGCTTCATAATTCAAGATCTCTCCATTGAGATTGAATTTCGACGTATCTTCATCCCTAATCTATGACGTTGGCAATTCATCTGGAGCATTTACTTGATGAAATCTCAATTTCGTGGCGCTTTTGTGATCATCTCCACCATCGGACGATGTCCAGCAACCTGTGCACTTGCACTGTGCCTGTGTTTGGGCTTCTGGACAGAGTGAGAAAAGCTGGCCCAAGAGAGGAGTCTGTGAGTTTCAGGAGCGGGGGCAACTTTCATGTGTGGTTTTCTCGCATTTTTTCTCTCACTCTCCATGTTGCTCATGCCGTTTGGTATGAATTTGTATTCCATTCGAATGGCTCGCTTTTGCTTTGCTCTCACCCAACTGGATGGATAGTGAGTAGTGCTTGTCAAGCCGTCACTGAATAAACAACGTGTCTGCGTGTGTGATTTTCTCAATGCACACAGAGCATTTCCCGCAATATTTTATCACTGGGATAAATCGGAGTTTTCGTGAGGCTGTCGTTAGGACGGAGGGATCAATTGAGGTGCTAATTGAGGTGTGATGTGCATAAGGGGATAAAAGTGGTTGGATTGTGGTGTGTTAAACAGGCATCACAGAGAGACAGAGTTTTGTGTGGTCCCAATTTTTCGTGTGAACGCGAAGAAATTTTTTACTTCTTCTTCTGAAATTCCTCCATTCACCACGAGAGAGACAACAAATTGAGGATTTTTCCTCCATCTGTCGTGAATGCATAATTACGCATATTTGTCAATTATTTGTATTCTGCTCAGCTTGGCACCGAAATAACATTTTTAAATGCATTTTTAAATAAGGGGGAGAGCGAGAAAAGTGTTGGAGCTCTGCTGCCAATAACAAAAACACCCAATCCAAAGTGAACAAAGTGAAGTCCATCAATTGCCAATAAATATAATAATAATGTTGAGGCTCGCGATCGAGTGAGATAGCCAGAGTGTGTGTTTTGTGCCCACCTTGACGTTCCAGCGGCTCTCAATCGCGTGTCAAAGACCTTATCACTGTTGCTCCAGATAAGGTTCATCTGAGCTCGAAAACAGTAACTTGGCGCGCGATGTCTTGTGGTTCAGGAAAGTGATGCACATCCAAGGCAAGAAATGAGTTTTGAAGCTCTTTTACCCAGTGCCACGATTATTTGCCTTACTCCGGTGCCTCGCAATAGCGCTTTTCTTCTCAATTAAAAATAATAGAAAAAAAACTCCGCGAGAGTGTTTGTAATTAATATAATAAGACACATAAGAAAAGAAACAAAACCCACCTTCTGCATCATCGGCCGGGCAAATGCATGCGTACGAGTGAATGGGTTATTTTTTCCACCAATATATTTCACACGAATGTGTATGTGTTAATTTACAGTTCAATTTTCAATGATAACCAATTATATTGAGTGAAACTTCCAGTGTCTATTGAGCTTTAAGTTGAAAACTTGTGTGTGCATTTTAAGTGAAATCACGAGCCAGATTCTCTCTCAATCCCGCGCGATCATCGATCAGGAGAGGATAATCTTTGAGGAGGGAGCGAGAGTGAGAAAAAGCGCGTTTACAGACTGATGCATTTCTGTGTGTGGACATTCAGCTGGCAAACAGATGCATCATCATGGACTTTTCATGTGATTTGTGACACAGAAAATTAGGCGGACAGCGATCGCCCGCGATATCGGCGACTCGATCAGCAAATAACACGACAAAAGAGGTAACATTTTCTGTTGCGATGGGGAGAAAGACAGAAAAACTCTGAAATGCTATTCATTGTATGTCAAGGCTCACGATCTCAATATCTGTTGGAAAAATTATCTATACTCAAAACTTTAAAACACTATCGACGCTGTTCGGAACACAACTCGACACTTTTTTGCTGCAGTTCGCGATGCTTAGTGGGCAAGAAATGTGATGCAAAACAGCTGAGCGATTGAGAATCACACTCTTTCCAAATTGACTGCTTTGATAGTGATTTGACTCTATAACATTGCGACGATCTTGTTTGATGAAAAAATTGTGCTATTCCATTTTCCAACGACACGCAAAACTTGCAATTCCACTGGACGTGCATATTTTTGAATAAATTTTACATTCCCATCGAGGTCGTTATTTTCAAAGGATGAATGAATGTCTTTTCAACGCAAAGGCACTCACCGCAGATAAAGCGCGACAACACTGTGTGTGACTTTTATAGCTAAAGTGTAAAAAAGGTGGAGGAAAAAGTATCAATTATATCGATTCTTTTTCTCTGCACTCAATCCATAATTTTTCTTGCATAATTGTGAACAAAGCAAATGAGAGAAAGAATTCAATTGATTGCTTGAGTGCAGAAAAAAAGGAGTTGAATTTATTTCTCAAATTGAGAAAATTGTGCGATAGAAATGATTAATAATTTTCGCTTCTGTTTCTCTTTCACTTGGCTTAATTTATGACAACCTTATCAAGTGTATTTGAATAATTTCTCAATCCTCTCGAAATGCATCTGATCGATCGCTGTGAGTGCGCTGGGAGAAATCTCCAGTCTGGCGTGTTAAATATTTAACACTATTGACCAAGAAGTCCCTCTCGAGAGAGCTCTCCATTGAGATATAAATTGCTAGCAAGACATGTTACAATATTGCCACTTCCGCAGTAATTATGTAATTAATTGTAGTGTATCGGTTTGTTGATTAAAGTCTCGAAAAATGTATGATGTGAGAGTGAGAAAATGAAACAGACAACACTATTGACTCTCAATTAGATCACGCTTGATCACTGTACTTTAGCTGTGTGAAACACCTTCAAACTGTGATAAAGGTTAAATGATCGGTTAATTTGAGTCACAGCCTCCGTTTGCGGATTTGTCGAGCTGTTAATGCGTGTGTTTTGTCTCTTATTGCCGCACAATTTATCTATTTTTTTTTCTTCCCCGCTCAATTGCAATGTCATGTATCGTCGTAATTGGGGTTCTCGAGAGAGTGCCGCTGAATTGAAAGAGAAATTATATAAACAGTGTATAGTTTTCTCGCAATTTCATTTTTCGGCACATGAATAGCACTGGAATTCATGATGAAATGTGCGCGCCTTGTTTATTAGTAAAGTCAGTGACCAATAAAGTATAACATATATCGGCTTTTGACGAGCGAGAGAGAGAGAGAGAGAGAAGCAAGAAAAGAAGTGTAATTTTCCACTGAAATATTGCACTTTTGCTCGATTTTTTCCCTTCTTTCGCTATAATTCCAATTTCAACACACACGATATACATTTAATAAGATTTTATAAAGAGAGAAGTTTTCTTATTAAGCGCCAAAAACTTACAAAAATGCCCCACCTTTCCCCATATATACTTAATGATTGTCTTTTGCAACTCAGTGCAGAAAAAAGCCTCAAATGCCATGCAATGTTGCGGAGGGGAAAGCAAAGAAATAATACAGCAAAAAATTCGCTCCAGAAACATGTCAATCGCGCTGAATTCATAAATCTCAATTTTTAAATACATATAACAATATTTGCACAACACCCTTGAGGAATTTTTGCATATCCATCGCGGTAGTTAAAAAAAAGGAGTTATTTTAATTGTGCCTGAACTTTTATTGTTATAGTCGTCGGGGCGAAAAAAAATGCTTTACTGTTTTATTTTATAGTTTTTCTTCGTACTGAGGAGAGAATTCGAAAAATGAGCAATAAATACCACACATTCAACCATTTCTTTGCGATTGCACACATTAATTCGTTGGCTGTTTCTAGACCTCACAAAACTTATCGTGTGTGTTTTTTTTACTTCTCCACCATCATCCGCTCAATTTTATAAAATGTTTTAAAATCAGAAAAGGAGAGACGATGTGAAAAATAATCTCCGTGTCGCAAAAGTTTCGTAATTTTCACATTTTGCCCCGCCAAAAAAGCCGATCAACTCGCGATTTATTCATTTTACTGCATCGCAGCGTTGAGATTTCATGTCTTTTTGATTGGGTTATCAAAGAGTGGTGCAATTGATTGTCACTAAAGATCACTTTTTGGCCTGCAAAATGTAATAATTTTCAGTTCTAAATTCACTTCTCTTAATAATCTCTTATCTAGATAGTCAAATCACAATCGCTCCACGCGCTGATTGATGTGCTTTCCAACTCGACAAATATTATAATAATATATAATCAGTTTTTGAGCAGAACACTTTTCTAAATAATGACGTGACAAGTTGCTAAAATGTCGAATAAATAGAAAAAAGTGGATATAATTAGCGAATTTGGTGAAAATTTGCACACGAGATGTGCTTTAAAAATTGGAAAGTCGGCGGCTGTTTTGCTCTCGTCATCGATCGCGTGATTTTTGGGCTGATTTCTCGGGAATTTTCACGTGTGAAAATTGATTGAGCAAGCAAAGCGAGGAGAGGAGGGAGTGATAAGGCTCTCTGTTCAGATCGCGATTGGCGAGAGAGCTTTCATACTCTCACGCAGTGGATAAAATGCGTGATGGCGCCTTTTTGTCTGTTGAAAATAAAATCGCTTTAGCTGAAGAGTTTGTCGTGGTTGGACTGGCCAGAGTGGAAACAGGTTGAGCCAATTGGTTTTGATGAGAGAGTTTCACCATTTGAGAGATCACTACGCGATCGTGATTGAATGCAATGTGTTTTCGCGCTGTGATTCACTACGGAAGAATTCCGTGGTTGTAACTGTTTCTCCTCTCCATCGATGGTTGTGTTTGCATAGGATGAATTCCATCTCAAACAATTAATTATACAGTTTTTTTCAATGCACTGAACACACGACAAATCTATGGCCTTTTCATGCTACAGTTTTATTTTTTTCAAAACTGTTTCGCACGACCCAGGAATTAATAAGGTGACCGCAGATTGTGATAAAGAGAGACTGACGTCATGTTGGGCCTCACCCACGAATTGCAGTCTTTCAGGTGGACTGTGTTTTCGGTGTGATTCCCAGAAAATGCCACTGAAAACCGCAATTGATATGCCAGAAGGCGTACATCTGGAATTCTTTGGTGGGGCCTTATCAGATAAAGTGCTTTATGTGCCTCTGGAGTGGGCATAAAGATGTCAATAGAGATGTTGAGAAGAATGTGAGTCACATAAGATTACCATAATTATGGCATTTTTATCACGAGACAACACCTTCGCGGCGAAGAGGGGGAGCAAAAGCGTCGGAGGAGGGAATTAAAGTCATTGCACAATTATTTTTATTATTTATGAGACAATCTTTCACGTCTCAATAAGAGTGAATTTTATTAGCGCGAGTCACTTAATTAGGCTTTTTTTATGCAGCAATATAATCATCGGGCAATTGTTCATCTAACAAATGGCCTGAGCTTTTCCAATCTATAATAGTATCTCTGCAAAAGCACAACTTTCAGCCAAGAGCACACGAGTTGTGTGATATTGTGCAACAGGTTTCTCAGCAAGTGATTTATCCATTGACCTCTATTGCATAGAATTATTCTGTCAAGCTGCGCGAGCAAAAGTTCTTGCGGCGATGATTGATGATGATTCTCCCATTCTGATGGTGTGTTCAATTTTCCAGATCTGCTGGCTGAAGTGGAATCCTCAGACAGTTGTTGGTGAAGATGCTAAACTGCACGGATCTGGCATGTGTCCTCCACCATCATCACTTTTACGCTCATTTGCATCACTTACGACATCATCTGCAAGATGACAATGACAATACGGGTGAGTTTACTTTACACACCATTGATATTTGCGCATGCTTTTACGAAAAAGTCACGCTTTTTCGGCTCATGTCTGCCAACAAGAGGATGGTTTAATGGCTAAATCAATCACTCCTTTCTTCACGACTTGAGCGACTTGAGTGCGCGATTTGGGATGAAGAAAGTCTCTTTTTTTTCTGCATATTCGAAAATATTGTCACGACAGAAACTCTACGCAAATCTCACGATTATATATACGAGGAAGGATTCGCCGGATGACTAACCAGTTTGTGCAAAAAAAAGACAAGTTTTTATCTTAGAGGTCAAAACTGACACTCGTTCCCAATTAAGCTTGATCTCACGTATTTTGGTGATTCATTAGAATTGAAAACGAAATTTTATCAGGAAAGCCGCTATTCGACGAAATATATTTTAGAGACGGAAAATAAGCGCAATAAAACCGTTTTTTATATGTCAAGATTACCCAGAAGGAGAATTATTAATCAAGATTGATTTTCTCAGAAAACTTCCATGAATTCTACTGAAGAGTGAAACACCTTGAATGTGTTGAACTTGAATTTTGCGTTTCATCTTTCAATCATTAAACTGTACTTTTCCATAATTTATTATATATATATATATTTTCACTAAAATAATTAAAAAACATTGATGATTTGTCATAATTTAACCCCCGTTTGTTCAGTCTTTGTTTCTACACACTTTGCTAATAGTTTCCTTTCACAGATGAAACGATAAATTATATTAAGTATTAAAGATCAATGTAAAGAGAAGACGACGATTTTTTAGCATGTGACAAAGAGCCAAACTGGAATTGATTCTTTTCGTTCACATCGTAAATTTAAAGCCCACCTGACAGAGTTTCACAGACGAGTTTGCAATCCAATATTCAATAGTTTCAGAGACACAGTCTTTGTGTGATATACTGGAAAAATCGAGAAATGGGAAGAAAATAGCAGAAACATCGCTGAAAAAGTGGGATTTTTCGTATAGACTGCACAGGAATGTTGATGCATTTTGTGTATACCTGCATAAATTCCTCACAACGTCATAATATTTACGCTTTATACTCTATATTTGCACTTAGATCGAATCATATATTTGTGAAATCTGGAAAAACTCGAAAAAACCCCGTGGAATATTGTGTGGCATGGGAAAAACAGGTTGAAAATCTCCCAATGAATTTATGAAGAGATAAGGAGGGAATTTGCATAATAATGCAGTGGAAAATGCCTTTGCGTTTTTTTCTCTCTCTCAAATTGATAAAGTATAGGAACTTTTCAAGGCTGCATCAACATAATAACTGCAAAAGGTTAAATGCTGATAGTTTTCTGGTAAAGAAAGAAACAGATCTGTTCTCAAATGCCAATTTGTGCGATGGAGAAAATGTTAATGAATGGATGGTTTAATTGAAAGTTGGAGGCGCCAGGGAAATAATGCTTGGGCAGCAAGAGGAATCCATTAATCATCCTCATCACCAATTCGTCGACAAAGTGATCTGTTTATATGCTGCCAACTCTCGTGGAATTCACGAGAGGCGCGTCTACGCATGTGAGTCAATGAAAGTTTAATATGAAATTATCATAGAATGGCACAGAGACACGGGAGGGAAAGATGTTGCATTACATGAATAAGGAGATCAAGTGTGTCGTCGAAAAATTGCGTGGCGACTTTTTTTCTTATATTGTGAAATTTCTCTCTAATAGAAATTCTTGTGGGCTGATGCGATCACGTGCTTAAGCAGCACACGAAGTCTGGCTATTGATTGTCTGAATGAACACTTAAGAAAATTGGCATATTAGAGGGAATATATTGCTCAACGAGTCACGTGGAACACACAGAAAGAGAGAATTCTTCAGTTCCCTGGAAAAGACTATTAGAAATTTAAATGTTGTGGTTTAAGAAAACATTCATAGAGATTTCCTCTAATTCTCACCTACATTGCGGAAAGACACACGATAATAATATTTGCCTTTAAGCACTTTTTCTTCACCATCCATTCTAGTTAATAATATTCTAATTGAAAATATACTTTATCACGAAGCTTCGGGTGATTGTGGAAAAAATTGGTTTTTTCCATTTAATTTTTATGACTAGTGTGCTTATGTAATGAATGTTTGCAATTAATAATATGCCACATATTTGCATAATAGATCAACCATAATTCAAGACAGACTCCACAAACCTCTCACTCGTCTTTTTGCTTCCAATGCACACACAATATTCCACTACAGCTCACAAAATGTTCTATCTAATAATCCTTTTTGCTTCATGTGAGAATGCTCTTGATCAAGAGGAAATTTACATAATATTTTTGCACTGTTTGCACCGTCATTTCAGGATGTTGAGCGTTTTTTTCTTTCACAGCTGATCAGAGTTGTAGTTAAAATATCTCAACAATGGTTTTTTTTTTTGGAGGTAAAAATAGCTTCTGACAAAGGCAGAATTTGTATCCTCAAATATGTGGAGCTCAATGTTAGGGGAAGTGGTGGAATTTGTAATTTAATTACAGTCCATGTGCAAATTAGAGACGAGCAAACGATGTCGCGATGCTGAAAAATTGCTAATTTTACTCTAAATGATTTTCTTCCATTTTCGTACGTTGTCGCCAAACCGTTTTTGGATCTGCAAATTTGACAAGAACCTCTTTTGTGCGGTAGTATGAGTTAATAATGTCTCCTTATAAATGGGTTTTCGGTGTGGATTTTAGAAGCAATTTGTCTGATGTATTAGTTTTAGTGTTGGGTCAGACAGTGTGGAGCAGAAGATTGGGAACAAGTTTGTCTATTTGTATCAGAGAAAAGTCATATCCTCATCGCATTATCCTTTAAGAAGAGAGATGTGAAAGAAATCGTTAAGCATTCATGTTCAGTAGGAAAATGTGAGAGAAAACTGCGTGCTCTCATAAATCTTTCACACACTGTATAGTGTGTCTCTTCCAGGTAGTTTTTCATCAAGGTAAAAGTATGTATACGAGAGTTGCTATATATGTATGTGGGGAATCAGGGAACACGAAAAATGCTTCCACGATCGTCTGGGTGAGCGCAAAATTTCTCAACACGCGTGCTGACTCCTCAATCGATTCCCAGCTCCTCGAGCTCAATGTTCTCGAGAGCGTCGCCAGGCCTGGAGAGTCACACACAGCAGCTCTTCAATTCCATTCCGATCGCCTCCAGTAGTTGAGCGCTTTTCCGTCACTCCGGTCGTGGTGCTTTCATCCCGCGAGCCTTGAGCAAAACCGTTGCGCCGCGCTACAAGTGGAACTTTTTTCGGCCTTTTTCACGTGAACGCGCGCTCCATAATTTCTCACAGTGTTGTATGTTTGTGTTTGTGTGTGTTGTGGAAAATTGCCTTATTTGAGAGATTTGAGTGGCGTGTAATTTTTGTGCAATTCACCATTGCCGGGTAGGAAAAGGTGGGCTGGAGTGGTTGTGTGCTGATCAGTTGTGAATTCACCCGTTCTGCGAGCAGAACATATTCTAAACAACCACATCGCGCGTGTTGAAAATAGATATTTCGGCCAGAATATCTCCTCTCTGAAATACTTCCTGTGTGATTTACTTTCGGTTTCCGATCAATTTGCCGCGCGCGCGCGCCAGTAAAAACGCCGCCGTACAATGAACAAGCAATATTAACTGGTTAGTTCCAACTATTACCATTTTTTTCTCTCCACTCTTTCCTCAAACACACCCTGATAATTGCCCACAAACTAAATTGATGTGGATTTTCTCCGCGATCGTGATCGATGTGCGGCTGCTGAAGAGATTATGATAAATCTCACGCGCGCGCGAGAGCTTCGTTGATTCACACCGAGAATGACGCGCTTAAGATCCTTGTAAAGCTCCGCATTTCAATTCTTCTGTCTGCTTGGGTGTATTGTTATCTCCACCACAATTTATTATTGTTGGGAAAAGATTCACGTGTAACCTTTTTTTCCCACAATTAATATTTTCCAATCTATGACCGGTTCAGACACATTTTTCTCTCTTTCTCACAACTCATCCCAAAAACTGATTGCCAAGGACGTGATGAGTTTTCTTTGCTCTACAGAAAACACACACACAACTCCTATTCATAGACTTTCAATAATAATTTCTTGATTGAGATTATGATGAGAAAGTAAGAGGCAATTTGTTATTGATGATGATAAAAAGAAAATTACTTGCTCTTTCTCATTCGCTTTTTCGGTGCAGTGTTGGTAATGTGAACGGGTTTTTTTGATCGAGATTTTCCCTTCAACCCTGACACACATTCTCTTGACGCAGTTTTCTCAATATATCACATCACTTTTCACTCGTTTTTCGGTGTTGTTTGCCCAAAAAGAAGGGAGAAGTCTTATTGTGTGGCAATTTTATATCTCTCAACGCAAGGTGTTTTAACAATATGCAAAGAAAGTTAAATATTCTGCTGATATCCTTAAAGTCCTGACACTTTCCGGCAGTTTTTCCCCATGCTAAACAATCAAGTGAAATTGAAAGATAAGAAAAAGCGATAGAAAGTATCGTATATCGCTAAAACACCTTGTCTTTATTCATATCACAGTGCGAGGTGGAAAATTAAATAACCAGTAAATATCGCTTAATGCTTTTTTGTCTTTAAACTCCACTTAATAAGAATTGTATGTGTGTTTTGCAAGAGAGCCGGTTTGTGATCTTTTGGGTGAAAAATTTTTAAACCGAAGAAAAAAATATCAAGCATTGCGGAGAAACTGAAGTGGAATTAGCACAATTTTCTCCCCATTTATATGTGAAGTGACTGAATTTTGTGGAGAATTGTGTGGTATTTAGCAATCTCACTTGACTTTGGTGACAGTGAAAACAGCCAAAAACTGGATTATTTCGGATACAGTGTTCAAAATGCCACAATCACGGCGGCAGAACTTGGTAAAATTTCAACTCATCTTTTTACCTCTTTATGACCTCCAATGTTAATTTTCTTTTATGGGGATATTTTTGGTGTACAAACGTATATATAAACTGACACGATGAAGTAAACTGTTTTCTA